ACGATAAACGCACTAGTTCAGTCCCGAGTTTCTACATGTACGGAGACTTTACTGTACCCGTTTCGTTTCTTTCTTTTCGTTTACTCCCAATCTCGTCCGCACGGTAACGTTGAATTCGTAAACGATCAACAGGTGCGCGATACGCGAGAATTGATCGCGGACGCAGATGGACACGTTGGCGGTACGCGGCTGCGGTAGCCGATTCGTATCGCGTTCGGCGAGGAATCGGAAGGAACTAGACCAGTCTCTGCAGACTGGCACGTTTACTTCGAATGGTTGTATCTTCAAAATCTCTGGCCTGAGCTACCGGAGCGGTGCTCGCGCGTTGCAAATACGTGCAACTTCGATCGGAGCGTTGTTGCGTAAGAATCGCGGTTTTCCCGATAACTCGTCGTCGCTCCAAAGAAGCAAACACCGAAAATAAAAATGTACATGTCGAATCGAGTAACCTCCACCTTTTCGAAGTCGATTAGAAATGGAAGAAAGGTTTCGTCCAAGGATCGAGAACTCGTAAGCGAGTTTTCCGCGGAAAGCCAACGTACTTTCGAAGCGTTCCCGTTCTCACAGTCGTAGCCGCGGCAACGAGCTGTTGCTGTTGTTGCTGGCGCTGGTGCTCCCTCTTTCTCTCCGTCTACAAAGTCGGATCGCGTAACCGAGTTCGATCGTATCGCCCGGCCGTTTCGACGACGCGAAAGATCTTTCGCGCGAATCTCGCGGGATCGGCACGCGTATTTGCGTGGTACGCTTCCCAGCGAGGGGAACGAGCGACGACTTTCGAACGCGAGACTCGAGAAGAGGAACCCGACCGACCGTTCCTTAGGCCGCTCGGCTCGGCTCTGTTCTCGTTCGAAATAACGTCACGGCTATCGTTGTTTTACTTTTACTCTGTAGCGCGATAAGATCGTCCATCGCGAGCATCTCGCCGCTCCGATTATCTTCGCGACGAAGCTTACAACCCGTCTACGAAAGAAAGTAGCGATGGGTGAAAGCGCAATGATCGCGAACCTACGAGTAACGCTCGCGGTAGCGCTAAAGCGTCCGAGAAAATTGTGTCTGCGCACGAAATCTCGCCAGGAATGGAATTTTGTATGGCGCATTCCGCCGGAGCGGTTCACCTTCGGCGCAACGCGGACAGTAAATTATACGATCGACCGGGCTGACCAGACCCAGACCGTTCTTCGACTCGTTTCGAGCACTCTCCTCGACGCGTCGCGCTCGACTCGAATAGTTGTCGTTTATTAGTCGACGACACGCGACCGTCGACGTCGAGTAAATTTGGTCGTGATCCGCTGGAGCCGATGGGGACACCGCGTACGCCGCGCCGCCGCTGCAAACGGAGACTCGAGCTGGATTCGTATCGTTCCGCGTTTCCTCGACGCGTACGCGAGCCGAAATATCGAAAAGTCGAGTCTCGTTGTCATCGTTAGCCAGCTAAACGCGCACGATCACCGTCGTCGATATTCGCTCGAAAGGAATGCAATGTTCGCTCGATAATCCAGACCGTACCGCGGTATGCCGCGCGTGGAACTTGAAACGAGCCTCGTTAGAGCGAAAACCTGCCGCGGCGGTTTGCCGCGTTGCCACGTAGACCTACTCTCTTTCTCTTGCCTTATTTTTCATTCCTTTACTTTTCTTCCCTCATCTTTATTCGCCCAGCAATATTATTCCTCTGTCTCTATCGCTACCTCGCCTCTCTCGATCCATGATCCATATAACATATCCCCCCCCCTCTCTCTCTCTCTCTCTCTCTCTCTCTCTCTCTCTCTCTCTCTCTCTCTCTGCGATCTATGAAACAGAAAATTAACCACGGCTAAACTTCCGAAATGCCCTCCACCTATCTACACTTTCGAGGATCACGCATTTACAGATTCGCTCCAACTTCGAAAGGCCGAACCTACATACCTACCTACGCGTACTTGTCGGCAATTACTCGCTATTATATAAGGCTACGCTTCCTGCTCTTACTCGGAAAGTGCTCGCGTCTAGCAAACGAAACAACCTCGACGTCTGATCGCCGATTCGAATCTGGATTTTTCCAAGCGAACTTATGACTCGACCTTCCTCGGAAAATCTGATTCGATTCGGAAAACTCGTCGTTGTCGTTGTCATCGTCGCTCTCGTTCTCGATTCCCGAGGAAACGCGACGCGATACATCGCGATCGGGACTCGCTGTAACTTTCCAGTTGGCCGACGCGAAAGAGTATGGGAAAATTGCGCAACGGATCGAACGACGCGAAAAATATCTCGATAATAACCCCCTAAATGGCAGGTGTCTTCCCGCTCGATCGTTTCTCGTAATGGTATCAAAGTTCAATTTCCGTAGCGACAATAATATCTAGGGGCTATGTAATTACTCGCGCGCGCTGTATCAATCTCATGGGAACACCGCGTCACATCGTTGCGACACACGCATCCGCGGGCATTTCCATACTTCTTTTTTTTCTTCTAACTATTCAAATTAATTTTTTTGCTAGCGCATCCTATGTCCGCGACGGTATCGCACGGTATTCGATAAATCAAGAACGATTACGCGACGAAGGATGATGGTCGATGGGTGCGCGTCGCTTTTCGCGCGCATCAGGATTCGAACAACGCACCGCGAATAGCTATACGCGCGGGAATAAAACGTGCTGGTTTTTCGGTTGGCAATCGGATACTTAAAGTGAAAGTAACGAGTAACGAGACGTAATCTTTTCGTCGGGAGCGTTAGCTCGAACTCGTACCGCGATGCAACGACACGCAAAAAGTCGTTCGACAACGGAGCCGAAAAACGAGATAGCCGACTTACTCGTTACTCGTTACTCGTTATGTAGCGGCGCGAGACGGTGATTCATCGAGCGAGCATACGAGATGACACGTTCATCGAATCGAATCGAATTAACAGCGTACAACGGTTGTGGCGCCGGTAACGGCGTTAACGATCTCGTTAACGTGCCTTTCGACGGAACGACGTTGCCCGATCGGGCCAACAAACTATCGTCTACGTATCTACCTACGTGTCTAAGAACGATATTTCTCGTGCTATTTACTCACACCATCGCCTCAGGAAACCGCCTTGTAGTTTGGCGCAAATCCCACGATGTACTCTCATCTCGATCGATCACCTCTTGTACGCGTCGTGCAACTCTTTTCGCTACCGTTCCTTTCTTCCTTGCAGCAGCAGCCGAGACGAGATGCACGCAAACGAACAAGCGCGCGCTTTCTTCCTTCCTTCGAAACAGCCGCACACTCACGCTGCTCTCTTTCTCTGATTTTATTCTACGCGTTACCACTTTTTACAATCTTTTTTCTTTAGGTTCTTCGTAATCGTTCTTCTCCTCCTCCTCCTCCTCCTCCTCGTCGTCGTTGTCGTCTTCGTGTTCGCGTTGATCCTCGTAATCGTGTCGATCGTCGTTATCGACGAGCAACTCGTAGTCGTCGAGCGCGGAAGAACGAAACGGCGACAGGGGCGGTGGTACGAGGAACGACGAGAAGGAGAAAGTCTATTCTCCTTTCCAAGCGACAAGTGTGCCACTGGCAAAACCTCGACAACGGAGGAACGATACACGTTCGTTGCACGGTACGCGATCTACGCAGCCCGAGCACCAGGCTAACGCGGCCAAACGGTTTACCTTTCTCGACGGGATTAACTTTTCGAACCGTTGCGTTGTTCCCCGCCGCGTATACGCGTACGCGTTCAAACGGTAACTGCTTCGACTCGACTCGACTCGATCCTTTTTGTTAACGATTTTTTGTCATTCGATGGACGCGATGAAACCGATCGAACCAACGAATCGCGAAGCGTCGTCGCGATTCACGTTTGATTTGCAGCGAACGAACGCGATGGGCAGCTGGATACGGATACGGCCAATCGTAAGCGAGATGTAAAAGGTACGCGAGCGAAAGCTGATTGCGAAGGAGACGAGTACGCGACCGAAAGGAAGGATCGGATCGGATCGGATCGGAACGTAGCAGGCCGAAGCGAAACGTTCGCGTCCAAGTTGGCTGAAACACTGCGTGAGACGAACGCTGCTCTGTTCCCAGTTCCCGCACCACTGCTGTCGCTGTGCATCCTGAACGCCGAGCATGCGGTTCAGGTGAACGATTTATTATTACCCCCACTCGTTCTCTTCAACTCGTCCGCTTCGAGCCGTTCCCTCGTTTCTCCGTTCCATCGCTCCTCCTCCGATTCGTAATATTCCTCCGCTTCCTCCCACCTTCGCGTCCTCCCGTCCTTCTGACACTGCTCATTGCTCGACCGATCGCCCTGAAAAACCGGCAGCCTGCCGTTTTTCTTACTTTTTATCACCTCGGTTAGTCTCGTTCTTTCTTTTCTTTCTTCACTTTTTCACGCGATCCTCCGCAGATACTACGTTTCCTGTTTTCAACGCTTCGAATTCCTAATTTTCTTTCCTCCGATTCCGACTACTTTCTGCCTCTGTCTCGACAAAGTACGTCGCGCATCTGTCTCTCGGATCGAAAAGTCGTAGGAATTGGAGCGATTTCGATAGGGGTGAAACAATACGAAGCAAAACGAAACGAAACGAAATAACGCGACGCGTCTCGTTCGTTGGCGCGAACAAGCATGCAATCAACGTCGAGTAATTGTATAACGAATGCGATGCCCTTGTTCGAAACATGACAGGATTACGGATAACGAGAGAACCTTGACCTCTTAATTGGAAGCTAATCCCTGTAATTTCATGACACGGAAACACATATCCAGACAATTTCAACAGACTAGACTAGATCGCGGTAATATCACATTATTCGGAACATTCGTGATTGTTCAATTATGCAACGAGGATCGTTTAATCCCGTTGACTCCAGGAAGGGCATCATTATCGCTACGAACGCTCTGGTTACCGGTAGCGGAATACGCGAGAAAAATACTATCGCCTACCAACCATTAACAATTGCAATCACTTAACACGGAATTGGTAGAAAAACTGTGAAAAGGTCGATAGGGGCACGAGCGTATTCCTCGTCTCGTAAACGATAAAAAATGAATCCATTCGATGCTGGCTAATAAATCCATTTTATTTCTCTTTCTCGCGATTCTGTTACGATTGCGATATATCGCTACTGTACTGTACAAATACGAATCGACTACAGAGGATTCGTGGTCGTCGTCGCTCGTCGGTATCGTAACCTCGAGAAACGCTTGAAAAAATCCATCTATCTATCGATTTCGCCGAATACAACATCCAAGGTACCGATGATGGCTACGATATCGGCGAGCATACAGCCGGGGCCCATGTGACGCAACCCAGATAAATGAGCAAAACCCGGAGCTTTGATTTTACATCTGTAGGGCTTGCTGGAGCCGTCGCTGACAAGGTAAACCCCAAACTCTCCTTTCGGTGCTTCGATCGCGGTATAAGTGGCACCTGGCGGCACTTGAAAACCTTGGGTATACAACTTGAAATGATGAATCAACGCTTCCATGCTGCTCTTCATTTCTTCTCGTCTCGGGGGCACTATTTTTGCATCGTCGATCCTTACTTCGCCCGGTGGCATCTGATTCAGACACTGGTAAATGATTCGCAACGACTGACGCATTTCCTCGATACGGCAAAGATACCTGAAACGAACGCGTACGTAATCCATCGATAAACTAATTCACGAGCAACGAGTAAATAATTACCTATCGTAGCAATCCCCGTTTTGACCAATGGGAATGTCGAAATCGACGAGATCGTACGCATCGTAAGGCGCGACTTTCCTCAAATCCCATTTTATTCCCGAACCCCGTAACATCACGCCGCTAAATCCCCAATTCAACGCATCCTCCGCCGACACCGTACCGACGTCTCGCGTGCGATCGATCCACACTCTATTCGACGTCAACATATCCTCGACTTCGTCCAATCGTTCGGCGTACTTGGAAGCCCATTCGTATATATCGTCCATTAGACCTAGCGGCATGTCCAAAGAAACGCCGCCGGGACGTACGTAAGCAGCGTGCATTCGCGCACCGCTTACCCGTTCATAGAATTCCATCAATTTTTCTCGTTCTTCGAATAACCAAAAAAACGGCGTCAGAGCGCCTATATCAAGCGCATGCGTTCCAATTCCCATAATATGATTCAAAATTCTCGTGATCTCGGCGAAAAGGGCTGAAAATGTAAACGTAGGGAATGAACGGATCAACTCTGAACACGGTTTTTAAATTATTCTGTTAATATCGTTTGAAACGATAGCAGCAGAAATCTGAAAAAAGTTTGCTTACTTCTAATATACTTTCCACGTAGAGGTACCTCGATGTTGAGCAACTTCTCAATAGCCATAGAAAAGCATTGTTCGTTGCACATCATAGAAACATAGTCCAAACGATCGAAATAAGGTAACGCTTGCATGTACGTTTTATATTCGATCAACTTTTCCGTGCCACGATGCAAGAGACCAATGTGCGGATCTGTGCGAACCGCATACTCTCCGGATAGCTCGACGATCAATCTTAACACTCCGTGCGCAGCTGGATGTTGCGGACCAAAATTAATACTTATATTTTTAATCCCTGTTTCCTCCACTACATCGACCTTCTTAATGGATCCAGGTTTCCATTTTCCCACCTCCGCAGGAGTGTACATACAACCCAATTTGTAAAGATCTATCAAGTATTCTTCATCCGGATACCACGCGTGTGCATAGCGCTGCTGACTGTAACGTTCATAGCATTTTACGTCGAGTAACCATCGTTTATAGGTTAGAACACAATTACATAATCGAGAATCTACGTCGCGCAATTACATTTGATAGCTCCGAAACTCGTTACGTTAACATCACCTTCCGATGATTGCCGGAGTTCCTCTCCTGCCAGTAGCGAAGAGTCCTATTTCGTTCCATAATCCACTGAATCCTCTCCTAGATCGTACAACGGACAACACTCTGGCGGCCATTGTCAAGTCTCGAACACAAACGAACAGCAAACGGAGGTTCTCCGGGTTCTCGCCCTCCCTCGGACTCGGTTTTACCTCCCTGCCGTCGGTAGTAGCGCTTACTTACGCCGTTGCTTCATCGAATTGTTACTCTTATTATTATCGGTGTTATTATTAGCTAACAACTAGCAATTCGACAAACGGTTGGTTCGCTTACCGCTTTTTCTCATCGTTGTTAGTCGCTTCGCCTTCCTTTTCGCTTGAAGTAATCAAGTTCCATCGACCAGGATTTGGTATCGATGGCGCCATCGCTGGCAAAACGCCCAAGTTTCTAATGAAAGTAGTTGTCGCAATTCCTGCAAGATGGCGTCACCGATATTCAAAATGTGGAGGACTTGATTCCACGCTTGTCAATTATATTTACAACTATGTAGAACTTGATCCGGGAACTAAAACTAACTAGCCCAACCTAACCTAGTTGCCGTCCGACATCTAACATTGAAGAGATCAAACTAATTCGATTTGATTTGATTTCCTTTATTTGAGCGATAATCCTGTAGGACTGTTTGCACTTTTCTCGGTCCAGTCTGGCTTGTTACAATTCACAACTCTTACACGTCTGTCTTTTCTTTTTCCCTATAACATTTACATTCTTTCCATTCTTTACCAGGTTATTACGACGAGAAAGAATTAAAATGAACGTAAAAACGTATCAAGGTCTACAACGCTACAAAGGTTTGCTTATGACATTTTTCAATTGTACGTTACTCGGCTCCGTACTTGGTTTCTAAAGCGAACAAAATCATATAACGTCTCCACTCAATTCGAAATTGTTGCTTTATTTAACTTGAACTTTCGATACGGCGCTTGTGTACGGTTGTATATGTACAATAATACATGTATGCGTATAGAAAAATGTGTTGCATCGACATTAAGTAAAGGTACAAAAGTCTATCTCGTCGATTTTTACCGACAAAATGATCGGGGTTTTGATCGAATAGGCGGCCGTGCCGCTTCCTCTCCCTCTCTCTCTCTCTCTCTCTCTCTCTCTCTCTCTTCCGTTTATGGAGAGCGAAACGCAAATAAAGGTAGTCAATGAAAGTCGTAAAGAAGGTAACGATGCAGCGACTGAGGTAATTGAAGGTTTCGTACGATTTTAGGTAACTTGGTGCCGCAGAGCTTTCGGACGATCAATCTGGCTTGGTGAGTCAACGGCAACGGAGTCCTCGCCGCTTCCATCACCATCGCTTTCTGCGCATCCGTCAGACTGCTCGATCGTCGTATCATGCAAGGATCGAAACTTTCCGCTGCCTCTAGCAATGCTTTCAAGAGTCGCGGTTTATCCGCCGTATTTTGTAGAGAGTTGAGTATACCGTGCGGATCGCGGAACTGCGTCTTGATCACGACTCGTGCACCGTACTTGAGCAACAGAGCTACTACTTCGACCGAAGGGTTCTCGTTCGAAGCCACGTACTCCGCGAGCACTGGACGCAACGCCGGGCCTTCGTCGCTGCGTATCACCAAGTTCGGATCCGCGCCTCGCTCCAGCAGCATCGACAGGATCTTCAGTCTGTTTGGAATGTTGTCAGCGCAGGCGACATGAAGCGGCGATCCGATGATCGGCGAGGTTGCGTTCACGTCAGCGCCTAAATTCGAAATTCTCGGTCGAGAATTTATTCGGTACGGGAAAAATGTAACGTTGTAACTTTCAGCGCCGAATTAAGATTTCCTAGAGCTCTTTGGACTACAGTGGCTGACGACAATCGTCCGCTGACTTTGCAACAGAACATTGTAACGTAACGCGAGCATTCGCTCAGTCTGGACGGACTCTTGCGCTCTTGCGTGCTCCACTGGTCTGTCGGTTTTTCGACGAACCTCTTTGATTGTCTACTTTTCACTGAACTGAGTAGTAAGTATCGAGAAAGAATTCAGCCGAGAGTTCGAAGCGAGCATTCGTGATACCAAAAACGACCTTGTAACGTAACGTTGGTGCCGAACCGTAAAATTCGTACCGAGCAATTACGTTACAGCGTTTTGTTGCAAATCAGTCGCCGGCTTAAAAGAAACCTTCGTTGCAGCTAACCTGTAGCCCCTAAAGCTCGTGCCTTAATCCGGCCTCGGTACCCGTATTGCGTATCGTGTGGAATCCATCGACGAGCAACGACCCCGCGAACGAAAAATCGTAAATTTGAAAGTTGACGCGCTGTCCAACGAAACTTGCGCTTGTCGCGGTTCGAAACGAACAAGACGAATGGTCGTTGCAAGGTCGAATTCCGCTGCGATAACGCGTGTAAGCCTACCCGACATCAACAGCATTTGGACGATCGAGGGGTCTCCCTTCAAAATGGCCAGATCGAGGGCCGTCGGTTTTTGATACTCGGGCCCGAGATCGAGACGCGCGCCTTGCTTTAGAAGTAGATCGATCACCGCCGGATCTCCGCCGAGGATCGCGTAGTGCAGAACCGTCCGATAGTCGTGTCGAGCATCGGCCATGGAATTAACGTCCGCTCCGTAGCTCAGCAAAAGCAACACGGAAGCTATACCCTGAATCATAAGGGAAATCATTCCTGATTGGTAAGTATGTCGAGTATAGTACACCGATTCATGTATATGTTGCATGTTCGTACAATCATGCACGCGTAAACTAAAGGACGAAGATTACCTGTGGTAATCTCGCCGCTTTCATCAACGGGGTCAGTCCAGCGCGGTCTCTCGTGTTCGGTTGAGCTCCAAACGCTAACAACAGTTCCATGCATTGCAGATCCAACGGCGAAACCAAGTTGATCTCCGATCCAAAGAAGTACCTTTTATTTGGATTTGCGCCAGCCTCCAGCAAGATTCTAGCTACGTCGACGTGACGATTTCTCAAGGCGAGTCGCAACGGTTCGTCGCACAACGTCGTCCTGCGTCGTTTCAATAATTAATCGTTGTTTGCCATTCTTTCTTTCATCTCTCTCTCTCTCTCGCTCTCTCTCTCTTCCTCGCTCAATCGCGGTTGTTGTTGCGATCGGTAAGCATAAATAGTCGAAAAGAAAAATTGCACGCATAGATTACGCAGGCACGATTACGTCGGTGTAGTAATTTATAGCACCGGAAGATCCTTGGCGCGCTTGGGTTTTTATCGATGCCAATCGAGCGGCAATCGAGACAGACGAGAGAAAGAACGAACCCTCTGTTGAATAGAGGAAAAAGAAAAAGAGATAGGTAGCGTGTCGCGAATAGGAAAACCCGCGGGTCTCGTACCTCGGGAAAAGCTCGCCGGTTTCCTGTCGATGATCGACCCTGGCGCCGTGCTTGAGCAATAACTTTACCAGATCCAAGTAACCGTGCTCGGCGGCCAGGTGCAACGCTGAATATCCGCACTCGTCGGTCGCGTCGATGTCCGCACCGCGCACCAACAAAAGCTGAGCCGCCTCCGTGTATCTCTGCCATACCGCGTAATGCAACGGTCTCAAACCCTGCGTGACCGGCTCGTTCGCTTTTGCCCCGCATGCCAACAGGATACGAATTTCGTCGAGTGGTTGCAAACGTATTATAGAGTCTGCTAGTTCCCGTTGCAACGGGCTGGCGGTGCATTCGGATGGCATCTAAACGTCGGTAGCGACGTCGAACAGATACACATTCGGATTATTCGATGTATTCTTTCCCTCCGTTGCGATATAATGTAGCCATTCATCGGTTGCGATCGTCCTAGCATTTTCGAAACGATAGCGCACGACGAACAAACAAGACTGTTGCGGTCGAGCCGCAACGTTATCGCGACCCTTTGCGGTCCGAATCTCGAACTAGCAACGGAAAACAGATTTACGCGGTTCTTTAGCCGCGCGATTTTTATTTCTCTCGCTCTTTCTCTGAGCCACGTTGCATTGCTATTTAAACATTGTGCCGCGAGTACCACGCCGTACACTATATCTATTCCTATTCCTATTCCTTGTCGAAATCGCACGGAAACATTCGACTCTCGCGCGCATCCTCGACGCGTCGTGTTCGACCGAACATTCGAGATCTCGATTCAAACGTCGAAAGACTGCCAAGCCAGCGTCACAATTTTGGCGATGATATCGGAACCACGAGCCGATCGGGAATCGTCGTCGCGGTGACCTATTCTCTTTTGCAAACCGTCCGTCGTCTCGTAGATACTTTCTCTGTCCCCGGTTATACTAGATCCTTCCGTTCGCTCGTTATCGTCGCTACGTAAACTTTTCAACGACGACAAAATTACGCTCCCAACTAGACCCACATATTAGAATGCATAGTCGCTTAGAGATTTCCTGATTTCCTCATTTCCTGTTCACGGTTCTTTCTCGACTTTCCAAGCTCGGCTTTCGAAGCCGTTTAATAAAAGAAGCTAAGCGAACCGATGCTACTCTACGCGACTTAATTCTCGATTCGCATTTGGAGGAAAACGAGTAGAGCGATTAAGAAATTAAGATCAAGTTATTCCCGAAAGTGTTTCGATTCCTCGGACAACCGTTTCCGTTCGCCAAGTTGAATTTCGAGACCGAATACGACGTTTGACGTTTCTCGACACGCTCATGTTCGTTGTTGTTTACTCACGGCGAATAATCTGCGATGCTCCAACATATAGAACCGGTTGTGTTGAGAACTGTCTTCTTCGTCGGAAACTCGGACCTATTTAAAGCTTCGAACGGTGATTCCGCCCGAAAATAACACAAAGGGAACGCGCGGGAGCGTGCGCACGAAATCATCCGCTCGCGACAACTGCGCAATTTTCGCGTCGCAGAACACGATGCGAGTTCGAGTCCGAATTCGAATTCGAGTCGACGCGTTTCGTAGGATTTTCCCGTGTGATCGGCCGACGGCTGTCTCTCTGTCCTATCCTTCGGTCCGCGTCTTTGTGTCCCTGTTTCAGCCGAGACTTTTCGATTTCGAGTCACCGCTAATTTTTCACGACCGTTCCCCGCTGCTTCTTCTTCTTCTTCTTCTTCTTCCTCCTACGAGATTTCCTCGACTACCATCCTGCCACCTTCGTGTTCTTCGTACTCGTCCAAACTCGTGCAACCTGACGCAATCGTGCGCGATACCTGGCGAATAACAAGGATTGGTTTTCGGAAATAACTAAAAAAGCGTGTCACTCTTTTTGGAAGTACTTTTATTAAGAAATACTTTGCACTTATTAAATGCCTTATACTCTTAATTCACTTTAATTATAATAATAATTATTGTTATAGCATTGTCCTATCTTTCTACTTAGAAGCATGCTTCGCTAACACACGTTACACGACCCTAAAATTATAAGCAATTTTTTTTTTTTTTCCTTAACGTACAGCTTATACGTAAATCAAACAACAATACTTTAATTTCACGAAGCCGACAAGTGCAGAGTTTTCAATGGAAATCTTCGCAACCTACGAAAAATTCTGTACACAAGTGCTGCATATACGTATGTTGCGACTCGAAGGGACTCCGAACGCGTTACAGTTGCTGTGACGTTGATTACCGAATCATCTCGCGCCAAGAAAATCGCCAAGTATACTCTGGATATTATCGTAAGCTTCTTCTCGAAATCGGATCGGATCGGATCAGTAATCGCTCCAACGACGCCGTCTACCCTCGCTTACGCCTCTTTGTTTTGTGTCTCCATTTTTTCGGAGCCGTGAGAAAAAAAAACGTGTGTGTATATATATATATATATATATAAACAGATCAGAATAAGAAATACAATTCGGTACTTTCTTCTTCCATTTTCTTTCGATTCGTGATACGGTTGTTAACGTTGATTATCGTCGTCACCCGCGCTCGCTCGCGATACAATGCGATTTAACCGAACAACGCCGAGTTTTGCAGGACATATTATTTATCTATATATCTGCCGCTAACCGCTAATTTATACGTCTATCTGCAACGCGTAGATGCGTTTCGATCGTGTACCGCCGTCGAATGGTGCCGTCTTTCGAACGGAAAACACGCTAGTCGCGGGTCGCCTGAGTATACTCGACCCGATTCGACCCGTATCGACTCATTTATCGTTTTATTAGTACATACACATTTTTTTTTTTTTTTTTTTTTTTTTGTAACATTCGCGACGAATGTACAGCGAAAGACGGCTCCCGCTCGAACCGATAGTTTGCACATACACGCAACCTTGCCATAACGGTCACGTTCGATCTGTTAGTCTTAAGGAACCTACGTTTAGAAAACTGGACTTTTCATAGGTTTGTGATTTCGTCGAAAAATATCTATAGAACGTTCTCCACGATTCTAACCCGAGCAAGGAACCGTTCGATCGATCGATTGCTTCGGCACGAAACAGTCACAGAACAGACCAATTTTTGCGCACTGTTTCCTATATCTCGCTCTTTCATTCTCGCACACGCACACACTCATCCATACGCTCACTCGCTCGTTTCTTCGCTCACTCGCTTATTCGCTACACGCCGTTACGCACACATGCGCGAACGCGCGCGCCCTATTGTATGATACAAATATTCGGCATGCGTTACATCAGCATGTAAGAAATGCACGCTACCTGGATTGGATTCGTTCGATTAAAATTTGTCCCTTTTTCTTTTCTTTTCTTTTCTTTTTTTTTTTTTACAGAAACATCCCTCCAGAGAAGAATGAAAAAATACGATAAGGAATGGAAAGCCACGTCGCAGAGTGGAAAAAACGGAAAGACCGATCGACCGATCGATCGCGTTCCCTGCTGTTCGTAGAATATTGATCTCGGTAACTGTAAAAAGAAATCTTAATTATGACGATCGGATCGATCATCGTAATAGGTATAGTCGCAAATTCTATCTACAAATAATAATACCGCTTTAAAAGTGTAGTCCGAAGCGATAACCTAATTAAATATAACATAAACTGCCTCGAAATGGCTACGATCTACGTACTCCTAAGAAAACGGCTATAGTAATAATAGTCGTCGAGTGTCGTCCATGCTTCTTTGATTGTTGTTTAGTTACATATTTTAAGGGCATTACAATTCACGTGAGTATGACACGGATTTCCACTAAAAATATTGTTACATACGCTGAGCATTACTGACTTAAGCACTGTACTAAGTTCACGTAAAATGTATCGTTATTATTAGAAAACTAATTATTCTTCATTGGTTTGAAATACTGGTTTTTAATAGATCTGTATAAAACCTTTGTCAACTGGAACTCTTTGAACGATGATTCGCGCGATACGATTTTCCAAGCAACAATCCTCTAACGCATCGGTGAACGAAAAGAAAGAAAAAAAAAAAAAAAAAAGAAAGAAAGAAAGAATAAAAAAATATCTACCTCGCCGCACGCGCAACGCTCGTATATGCTTTTCTCTATTTCCTTTTTAGCATTCTCTGAGATCTCGACGGAATCGATTCGATTCCTGACGACCGAACGAACAATACGATACAAATGGAAAGGATGGGCGATACAGAGACGCAGGTAGGGTGGCGGTGAACAGAGAGAGAGATACCGTGTGTGAATAGTTGAGGAGAGAGGAGAGGAGAGGAGAGGAGAAAAGTGGTGGAGAGAGATAACGAAAAACGGTGAAAGGACGAAGGAAGGGAGAGTATGAAAACCGCATAGCAGGAATATTTGTACGATCTATGCGATCTTGGGCAGGGTTAAACCATGAATCGGGAAACACGTCCGTCGGCGGACTGTTCCAATCTCTGTCTGCGACTCGAGTTCGCGCGAACGAGGTGGAATTTCTGGACTCGCTGCGTACCGCGAGAAATCGAATGTTCATAAAGTTTCCTAACCTAATTTAGTCGTTCTTTTACACGGTTATCCTGTATATTGTCAAGTACAAATAAAGTCAGGATTTATCACGAGGCCAGAATAAAAGGCAGATACGTACTAAATGGTAGGACATTTCGTCTGTACAACGTTTTACATCGACTACGCCCATTATTCTTCTCCCCCCCCCCCTTTTTTTTTTCCTCCCTTTTGTTTTATCTGGCACTCTCCTATTTTAGGCTGTTTCACATTTACGGTAATTTATTTTGCTGGATTATTGCATTGCATGGAAAAATATGGCTTTATCCGAATGCTATTTAACAAAGGCAATACACTGTACGATTACGTTATATTTGTGTCTCTTAGTGTATATGTATGTGTACGTACGTCTGTATGCGCGCGCGTATAAATATATCTACGCGTACGTGCGCTGGTGCGTACTGCGTATGCGTCGCGGATCTCAACGTGTAATCGTATAATCTTACAAAAAGGCAGATCCAGTGTACGAATACTAATCAAAGTGTGGTATTCGTTAAGTGACCAAACCTCGTATTTGGTCGCTTTTATCAAAACTGATGAATTTTTACGATCAATTATAACTGTTCCTTCATATGCATGCATACGTGTGTATATGTATGTATCTACGTATGTCTGTATGTATGTCTGTATGTATTCGTGTATGTACACTAGCATGTAAAAAGCATTACGTTATGTACGCCTTGATCGTGTTTGTTTCCGGTGACATTTCTCATAAAGTTAAATTGTAAATATTTCTTTTTTTTTCCTCTTTTTTTTTTTTTTTAACGAGTACCAGCTCTTGGAGTATCGAGTGCTGAATATCGAATGTGACGTCGTGTCGAGTATCGAGTTACCGAATATATATACATATACGTACATACTTATACACAGTAACCCCCGCTTTTATGCCGCCATCTTTTTTGTTTTCCTCGTCGCAATTATGTTTGTTTATTGAACGCGGGCGCCGGTGAAAGCGATTACATTTTTCATTACATCTGTTTCGGAGTATCATCGTCGAATTGGCTTTGTTTTCTCAATGAAAATTAGCTCAAACATGTTTTCATTCGGACTATGTTCAATCATACATGTGTTTATGTATACACTTATCGGATCACTTTGGAAAAATGTCCAATTTTGTATAATTCGAAATAGTCGGAATAAGACTGTCTTTGGACTTCATACACTTTTATCGAATAAACCTCGTCAATTAGTCGATAATATTCTCGTAAAGATATAACGAAAAATATAAAAATTTGAAATGTTCTTACTGGGTAATTGTAATCGTCACCGAAAGCAAGGAGGTCGAAATTCGTTTGGTGTTAATTTATTTGCGGTGGTGCTTCCGATATATCCATCTCGATTATTCTCCTCGTCGGATGGTACACGGCTGCCTCGGCTTCAAATATTAATGTATAGAGAAACATCGGTACTTTTACCAGATACCTATACGAAAACTAGTACAACTAAGAGCATCGAGGGCATCCACACAGGGATTACTGTACTACACAGCGCATATTAATATATCGATAACTAACCAGCATACTCGCGTACTAATCTGTATACGCGCGCGCGTACAGGCGCGTGTATGTGTGTGTGTATACATATGTGAATAAATACAATATATAGACACACACATAACAAAGGCAGAAAGAAGACACCTTCCCCGACAAAGTGCCTACAAAAATATCTGTGTAATAGATCCAGATTTGCAGTATACTAAGATTCAACGTGGTTGCAGGTAAGCCACGTGTTACCAGTCTTGAACATAATGACTAATATTTGTTCGCGGACGAAGCCTGCGATCTCATCGTAGTTATAATAAGCATTTAGACCGCAAGCTTCGAATCTCTCATTTCCCTTAATCTTTCCGTTGAATAAAAGCCAGCAAACCTAACACGCACGGCGTATTACATTCTATTCGGTTTTATAATACCAAAATTGATATTTGAAATTTTGGATTAATTACAGATTATACTACAGGTTCAAAAAAAAAAGAGCAACTTAAAAAATACATACACGTTCCACCGGTGTGTGCGCGGGTTCGTGTGGGTGTGCATGTGTGTGTGTCTATTCGTGTAAGTGTACGCGCGGGTTTTCTCCCAACCGAGTTGGTGATGTTGATGGGCACACGTTGCGTGTTGTGTATGTCTATATATATAAATACGACGTAATAAAAAAGAACCTACCCTACGGATACGCATTATCAAAAGATTTTCGAGCGGTCGTAAAAATATGCTTCGCGTGACGCGTTCAATCTTCTCTATGAACCGTGTTATGTAAATCTGTTGTAGCAATCTGTGTATAGGACTCAAAAAAATACCTCTCACGCTATCCATGTACGCAAGGTGTATGTGTCACTAAATAGAAGAACGGAACACGGCCCAAAACTGAACCGTACGAGTAGCCTTCGAACGCTGCATCGACACTCGTTACACACATTCCTTCTTGTCCGTTCAAGTCGCGATGGGAAAGAAAACGAATAAAACGTACCCAAATGAAAGTTACTCGATTAAATTAAACGACTCGATGAAAACAATTCAAATATCTCGATATCGAGCGATAATCTTGCAAACAACCCGAGATATTCGTTCGTTTTCTAGTTTTCAATTATTTTCATTTCGTCTCGATGCCGCGTTCGAAAGTTGGCGTATGGTGTTTATGTACACGGAGCCGAGCTGTTCGAGACTAAAATCGTACTTATCGTGTACGATACGTACACGTTGTCAATTATTCTCTATTAAATTACTATCTTTTGTAAATGCAATAAATGTGTGTAGAGTAGAGTAGAGTAGAGTAGAGTAGAGTAGAGTAGAGAAGAGTAGATTAGAGTAGAGTAGAGTAGAGCAGCGAAAACGCACTCGCGGTAGATGATGCGTGATCGCAAGTTGTGAATGATTTAACGAAAAGCGGATAACACGGTGCGAGTCGATAAGGATGGGAAGAATGACACAGTCTGGAACAGCTCCGATACGGCAATAAAAAATTTGTTCGATTCAACTCAAGTCTAAAAACTCGCTACTTCTCGTACAGCACTACGGTAGGCTGGAGTTTAGGCTCTCTGGCAAACGATAATTCATCATATGATATGGCGGACTCGCGGGACTTCCCGGTTGACTATTCATGCCAAGATTACTCGAACCACGACCGCGTTTTCGCCTTTGCAATATACCTTTTCTAACCATGTAGAATCGAATCGTACTTATCGGAATTTTGTACTTTTCCGAAGCCACTTGAAACGTCATACCGCGTGCCACCATATCCGAAGCTTGCTTCAATTCTTCTTCCGAACGTCTTTGTCGTCTCTGATAACCTAAACGCCGAACACACAACGATCGAATCAGATTCATCTTATTCGTCTTATTAGATTCTTACCAGCTCCAATGACATTTTTCATTGTTCACGTAACGTACATCTGCTGGTAAAATTTTATCGAAAAAATCTCTACTTAACGATCAAAGAAATACTTTTAAAGTTCATTTCCCTCCTCCTTCTTCCAGCTTTGTTTCTTACCTTCGATTGCAGGAAATGGACTACTAGGGTTACAATTGCTGCTCGGTACCATACTAATCGAGTATGGCTTCACTTCCTGTTGCTGAGTAAATTGCTCGTCTGGCTCCATTTTGACCATGCCCTGAGTCTCGGTCAGAGTTGCTTCGCAAGCGCTAAGCGCTTTTTCCAAATGCTGCAACGCTTCGCTGTGCTCCATAAAGTTCGAAGAGTTGGGATTTTGCGTAACGGGCGTAGTGCTATGCGATGGAGCACTCGCCGTGCTGGACGCAGCAACTGTTGCGCCTTCGAGAAAATTAGCGTTCGAAGCTCCATCCTCGGACTGAGTTTCTTCGCGTTTAAAATTAGGCTCATCCTGCTGTGTGGTCGTCGATGGAGTAACAGGAGTATTAGAGTCGCACTGTTGCGAACTACTTTCGCTCAAAGAGTTGTCGTTTCCTTGAGTGGACAAACCACGAATCTGGCAAAAAAGTTATTTACGTAATAATTTATTCACACTTTGCGTATCGTATCCATGTAAATCATCTAAATTGTAAACTAGCGTCGTCTCTCTTTCTTACCTGCAATACTTCGGCAGCTTGCATTAATTTACCCAGCTGCTGTTGCTCTACGTATACTTCTCCACGATACATAAATTCCACCAAAGCCTGAAGTTCCCACATTCTCATGTCTCTCAAAAAGATAATAGGATGGGTGCACGGTATTTCTAGTAGTAAACGTTCCAAATAATCGCTACAAGCTGACAATACCACTTTGTGACACTTTATTGACCCTCCGTCGCATGCCAAAGTGACATCGACGAACTGCTCCGAACTTAAAAGTTTAGGAAACGCGCTGTGCATGTTCGCGTGATGAGAATTCCAGGAAACGCAAAACTGCTGACGATCTCCACCAGGGTAATTACCCGGGGTATGTAAGATACTTCCACTCTCCATTATAGTACCGTTTCGGAACAATTTTCCTGTCAATATTAATACATAATTTGATTACATTCAAACCATAATAAAAGATCTAGTAAATGATCTTTTATAAGATCATGTAAATCATGGCACGAATTATTTTATGTAACAAATCAAAATTGTGGAAATTATTGTACGTTAAAATTTTCTACCAAATTTTTACTCCTTTCGTATCTGTTAGTAAATTAATGGTATTCATTTTGTTTTAAAGAGAATCTTTTCTCAACAACTTGTTCGTGATAAAACTTGCATACAACAAAAGAAAGCTAAGAATATCGGCACGACCAATATATCATATCGTCATTCATCTACAAACAAAACTCCATAGTTTCCATGAATAGTAACTGGAAAATATTGAGTCACAAATTCAGATAAAAATCATTAGAGAGTAATAACTATAGACAAGAATCAGAGAACTCGAATGGATTTGAATGTAATTAAATGTAAATAGGAAATTCGATTAGAAAAACACAGAATAACTTGTACAAAATAATAAGCAATATGGCTATGCTGTTTGAGAAAATTTGATATTAACGATATATATTCGAGTACGCGTGTAGATACATCAATTGAATACTTGAATTGGTAATTTAGTAGTAATTAGATGCGATTATAAAATAAAAGTTAACGCGAAAAAGACTTGAAAAGTACTTGGTAGCATTGTACGAGAGAGAACGTGTAACAAAACAAATCTGTCGTACGTAATGTTTAAATGAATTGTTTGATAAAAAGCTTGGAATACAAACTCTAGTTACGCGGCGTTTATCGTAATCACGTGTTCAAAGCGTACCAGCCGACAGGTTAACCAAAAAATATTCGATGTACGCGAAGAAGTGTAAAATTTTTTTGTCAATAGAAAAATGGTGAAATCTTTGTGGGAGACGCTGTCGGCGTGAGTGCCATCACCCCCCAGGAACGCCTTGAACACAAGTTTGGTCTTTCTTCTTACTTAACGAAACCGAATCCTAGAAACTTGAAGATTCCAGGAATAGAATAATAGTAGAAATTTTCTAATAAATCGTTTCACTCACAAATATTCAGCTCCCTCGACTCCTCTCAGATTTTCGCGTCGCTTTCGGGAAGAATCCCTTAAGAAAACATTCATCCGCCGAGATTTGCACTAGCTAGGGGAGCTCGAACGGAAGGGTGGGGGTAGTAAGGCTGGGGGTAGCTTAGCGAACACTAGCGCACCTCTTGTCTTTCCTGAAAACTCTTACGAACGTTAAACTCCCCGACACGTACCAAAAATCCTTCTATCTATACCTACGTTTTACTTATTAGTACGGTTACGCGAGTCAACTAACTTCCAAGTTAGGAACGCTGATATACGCTGAAAAACGGTTACTCTTTTTCTCTAGGGGAAAGTCGTCGAGTACGGCACCAACCGAGAGGCCTGCCCCAACCAAACAACGAGCAATGTCTCGATTGATGCTAAGTTGATGACTTTCTTCGAAAAAGCAAATATTCATGTATCACAGTGTATATGAAAACAACTGTTGACCGATTCTCTTGATTCTCGGCTTTGATTCGTCTATTCGAAGTAACTAGACGAATCAAAGCCGAGAATCAAGAGAATCGCTCAACAGTTGCGGTTGGAACAGTTGTCTCAGCGGAATGTATCCAATGCGCCCACTGACATTGACCACAGTTATCTTTCTCTTCTAAGAGAAAGTCACCAACTTGCTTGCTGTTTGTTAGAGTAATTGAGCTGGTGACTTTCCCTTTTACAGGCAAGAGTTACCGAGCAATTTGTAATTTATGTTTGGTAGCCATTTGATATTTTCTTTGTAAACCAACTCTAAGCCTAAGGCTACTACATGTATATGTATCCATCTTACTGCACGCGACCATCGCGAACGTGTCTAAGCTCACGTATTAAAAATTGGTACAAAGTTTGTAGCGCTGCGTGGGAAAAATTCACCCAACAAAAGTGTGGATATGTACATATACGTGATGCGTATATTACAGTAATGGGTTTTTTAAATTGCCTTAAATTATTTAAAAGAAAGTAAATCAGAGAAAGTGCAGATGTAATTCAAAGGATTTTCGTCGTTTCAAAGAATATAACTTTTTACGCAATTTAAAAAAACCCGCTACTTCTAGTTGGGTGAATCTTTCTCACGCGGCGCTGCAAACTTTGTACACGCGACCTTAGACCCCTTGACCATCACTGATCCAACTGATCACTGATCACTGATCACATTGTATTAGACCACATCCACATGTATCCACTTGTATTTGCTTGTATCGCGACCGATGTATCAAAGGACTGTGAGCAGAACATAACCAAACCGAACTATGTATGTAAATTGCTGGTAAGAATAAAGGCGCTAAACTATTGACACATGTAAAACATGTCAAAAATAACTGGGTACGATACGCACGACGATGGACCAGGTTTCGTTGGTATTAGATTTTGTCAAGAATGCAATAATATGTTATATCCTAAAGAAAACAAAGAAAACAAAGTGCTAATGTACGCGGTAAGTATCATGTATGACTCTTTTTTCTTAAAATTGAAGTGTTATTACGAAAGTTTGCAACTCTATATATTTGTTTCAGTGTAGAAACTGTGATTTCAAGCAGCTAGCTGACAGTAATTGCATTTACGTAAACAAAATTATGCACGAAATCGAGTAAGTATACGAATGAATAGCATTCATTCTTTGTGTGCTTTATTGCAAATTTTACAATTTCAGCGAACTAACGCATATCGTAGCGGATGTTATATCGGATCCTACTTTACCAAGAACAGAGGAACATCCTTGTCCAAAGTGTAACCACAGGGAGGCAGTATTTTTTCAAGCACAGACCAGACGAGCAGAAGAGGAAATGAGGTTATATTATGTGTGTACCAATCAACATTGTTCTCATAGATGGACAGAATAAAACTTCAAGAGTAATTTATACATTAACCAGATTAAATAAATTTTATAGGAAAACAAAAAGAATGTACTTTAACAAAAAAACAAACACAATAAAGCATCAATATTTTATTACCCATATTCTTCCTGTGTGAACAAATTTAATTGGAATTAGAATTAAACCAGTAACAATTTTATCGTTCCAATACAGACTCGTTTTATTTAATTTCAATAATCCATAATCGATTCCTGTAAATTTTACCATTTTTTCAAAGGTTATTTGCAATTTGTATTAATGCGCACGCGTATGGGAAATCATTGCATTCATATCTCCAATTCTCGAAGTTATGTTTATAGTTGATATTCGTTGCGTATAAAAACGAATATATCACAGGTCCTATTGTTAACCAAAAAAATCACTTAATTTCAAGAATTAAAAGACTAGATAAGAGTTTATGTCGAATAAAGGGTGTATCTCATAATGAGTTTTTCGTTGTCATCGCATCGGATATAGTTTTGCTTAAAGTAGGTTAAAACGATTAATGGGTGCAGCGCTTACGACAAAAGTTACAGAAAAAATGGAAAGGTATACAAGAAATTGATTTACCACCAAGTCCATACAGGATCACGCATAATAAATATGGATTTGGCTAGTACTAACGATTGCTGATGATCAAGATTAATTCTAGGTTATCCCTTGTCAAAAATTATTTCAGCTCTCAACGTTCCGATATGCGAGAAAGAAGAGATGAACAGGAACAACCGCATGCGAGCAGCAGTGCGAGACCATTATCAATCGAAGGTCCTCGAAACTCAAACAGTACCGAATCACAAGTGCTTGAACCAATACCAAACCAGCCTAGGCAACCAAGAAATTTGCAAGGACTACTTAGGTTTGCTGCGGAAACAGCCAATTCTCAAGTTCAAGGTCCTACTACCAATGATACTCGATTTAATCCAATGGATGAAGAAGTAATAAATATCATCTATATGCTTATACAAGTATTTAATTATAATATATATATATGTATATATGGACATGTATTTATAGAGACGACAATTTTTGGAAGAAGCATTTTCTTCGTTATGTTGTAATGTGGTGGAAGAATTACAAAAAGGTATTAAAATTTTATCAAATGTAATTGACCTTGGACCAGAGGACGATACATCGCAGCATGAAACTGCTTTGGAGAGAATAGCAGATTATGTAGATAATACAGATATTGCCAATGACTTTTATAAAATAGGAGGCTTTTCAATATTTGGTCCATGTTTAAACTCTCCTCATAGCAGCATCAGATGGAGAGCAGCAGATGTAATAGCTGAACTAGCTCAAAATAATCCCTTTTGTCAAGACAGGTTTTTGGAAACTGGTCTGTTTCCGATATTGTTGAACATGATAGATACAGATCCAGCAGAAGCTGCAAGAATCAAAGCCCTGTATGCTGTATCTTGTAAGTAGAGATTTCTTACTACAATAAAAGTCTTAAAAACTTTATTTAAATATAATTCATATTACTATTAAATCTAACTATTTCCTTGACATTCTTCCGCGTATGTATTATATATAGGTATAGTCCGCGAGAATCACATGTCGTTGAAGTATATGGACATAAACGATGGATATTCCGTTCTTTTGAGAGCTATGCAAAGTTCAGTGAAGAAATTACAAATTAAATCCGCTTTTCTTTTATGCTCTCTTTGTAACAAAGAAAACATAGATGATTTAAAACTCACTTTAGTGAATATGGGGTTGGTTGAACAAGCAACTGGTTTGCTGGCCATTGGCGGTTTACTTCCAGAAATTAGGTATTATTTTTCTACAATTTCATTTTGTTTTAGTGTAATTCTATAAAACTAAACATGATATTCATTGTTTCAGAGACCAGTTGTTGAACATTCTCGACGGTTTAACCAACAATGACTTTCTTCCTGCCTTGAAAGAATGTAGACGACCAGAACTTTACTTAAAATCCACACTGGAACGTTGTATAAAAGATCTTAAAGAAGAGGAAAACTCAGACCAAGTAGATGTATGTTGTCGGCTTTTAAATAAAGTCTTTTCCGAGCAAGACGCAAATGAAGAGAGATAATTCTGGTTTAAAACAGCAATGGCAAGCTCTGTTTTGCTGGATATTGCTATTGATAAATAAAATCACACATATTTTCTGTACATCGTGTATTCCATATTTTGATGATTTATAGGTTAACTACTACACGAATCGATGAGAATAAAACTTTGAATCTATGGCAAACAAAAAATGTCGAAAATAAATATGTAAAAAAAATCGTTACCCTAAATATCTTGCGTCGTCATTCATAATACGCTATCAATAAAAATGTTACATTGTTGTATATTTATATATACAGTATATCGAATATATCGATGTGATAAAGTATAATAGAAAATTAATGTTTATCCATAGCATTCGATTGTTTCTAATCTAATCGGGTATGTTGGTTGAAAAATACATTAATACTGAATCGACTAAACGTAAATACCATTCTTGTTGGCTATATTAATAGTTTAGTTACATTTCGTTAATTATATCGATCAATATTGCGTGTGTTATTTCGCAAAAATGTATGCAATAAAAAGTGTCGTCATTTGAAATCCTTAAAGAATAATACATTTCAATTAGTTGTTTTTCTAAATATGTTTAAATAAAGATTTGTGTAGGTATACGGTGATAAACGAAAACGCATATCATTTTGATGCGTGACTTTTGTACCGTGGTTAAGTTAAAATTGTTGACGTTAAAGCAAATAAGAAAACGATAGATATGGCCGATGAAAAACTTGTAAATCAAACAGAAGATCAAGAATTAAACGACTTATTGGACAGTAAGCAACAATTTTGTTATACGCTACACTTTCGAATAAATATATTCTAAAAATCCTAACCTTAGATTCAAACACTTGCTCTGGAAAAATAGTTACCTTCCTTTTTTCAAACATATTTTTTGAATAATTCACATGATTTATTCGTAAAAATATGAAAGCGAGAATGTATAATTATTTTAAGCTGTTTTACAATAATACGGTGACGATTTACATAACTATTGTTATGTAATTCATAGAAATTTTTGTTTGATCCAGTAATAAATATAAATAAAAAAAGAAAGATTTATAGATAAGATATTATACAACAGCAATGTTTCAGGTGCTTTAAAAGATTTCATTAAAGAACAACAAACAAGTAAAGATGATACCAGCAAAATAGATACTTTTGAATCTACAACAGGAGAGAATAACGTTGAAAATGTAGAGGATGCTTGGACTACAGATTTTATTAAAGGTGCCGCGGAGCAATTCGAAGAGAATCTACAGAATTTAATAAAAATTGGTAAACGTGGTTTAGGAACATTGAAATGGAGCTAGTATCACTTGAAAATTTTTTTATTAGGAGCCGACCCCGAACTTGGAGCTTCTTTTCAAAGAGTGGCACAATCACTTGCAAGTGCAATCGCGGATGACAATAACAGCGACAAAGATAGCATGAGTACAGACTTTCAATCTACCATTGCACGAGCATTAAACGATCTGTCGGCAACATCTGAAAATTTACAGGTATGTATATACATATAATCATTCAAGGGTGTGTGAAGCCCTTTTTTAGCTAAATCCTTTAAGTTTTTCTTTTATTTTAAAAGTTATTTATTTTATGAAAATATCATAGAGTGAAGCTGATTTATCTGAAATGCTTCGACAAATATCTTTGGAAGATGGCCCTGGTATTACTTTGCCATTTATGCAAGGAATGCTGCAACATTTGCTATCAAAGGAAATTTTATATCCGTTGTTGAAAGAATTAATCGATAAGTATCCGGAATGGTTGGAAGAAAAGAAGACAACCATATCGTCCAGTGAGCTGGAAAGGTATAACAAACAACTACAATTGATGCAACAGGTAAGTCAATAGTAATATTTATAAAAAAGTTATTTTTTCGTGATATTTTATTTAAAAATGCGTAACTAACGGTAACGCGAAACATAAGTTTTTCTATTATTTTAGATATGTTCCGAACTTGAAAAGGAAAAAGACGAAGACACAGAAGAAATTAAAAGAAAACGTTTCGAAATGATAATATCGCTTATGCAAGAAGTGCAAGGATGTGGCCAGTTACCCGAGGAACTTGTAGGAGAACAAACAATGCCTTTTCAAACCGATGCCGAAGGCGATCCTATTATTCCAGCGTTATTTCGTGGCATGGAGTCGCCGCAAAATTGTCGTTTAATGTAAATCAATTTTCATAAGTATTTGATATTTGAGAGAAATTGAGATAATGAATTCGGGATTTGCAATGCGCTGATGTTTTAGTCATGTACAATTGATAAGTGGTGAACTATTGTATTTAATACACTTTATTATTCTCTATACTAGCATCGTCGAAAAAAATTCGTGACTGTAAATAGAAACGGTCTCTCTACGCCTGGTACGCGCGTCGATGAACCATACATGATACATACATCGTATATATGCGTTATACGATGCATATACATATACATATATATTATATATGCATATATAGATGTACATACATACGCAGATATACATACTATATATGATTTTTATTATTCGTAGAAGGATTTTTTGTCATTCCAGTAGATTGTAACGCGATACAATATAATATACCGTTGGTATAGGGCGGGGGTAGGAGGTGTAATAACTAAATGCTTTTTAAGTAATTAAATAATTACATTGGATATTTTATTACAGAAAGTATTCTGTAACTACATATAAATATAATAACGTGTTATTTGTATGTTTGTTGGTATTTGCTCGTTACGATTTTTTGTTTTGCTTGTAATATCAGCACAACAGTTTGGTGAAAGATAGTTTGCTATGCCCAACGTAAGAAAAATATTCGTTCTAATTATTATATCATATTAATTTTAAGTAAATAATTTTATATAATGGTTTGCTTAAAAAATACAAGTTGAGAAACATGATTGGTATGAATTTCAAGATGACGATAACAGAGCATTAAACGCAAAGCGAAGGGCGCTATGCGATTGCGGAACCCTATACAATAGGTTATACGTCTAATATTAATCGTAATTTTGAAACACCTGGATCTATCTGACATTTTCTCGTCGTATCGATATAACTCGTGTCGTATACGTGATAATAACGCGAGTTTTTTTTAATACGACGCCGTTCTAGGATTATCAAGTATACTATCTATTACATTCAATACCATTACATCAAATACCAACTTGGTAATTAAGCGTAATCAATGAATTTTTTTGTACATAGATGTCGCTAATATGATTGGAATTTACGGAGGTGAAAGTGCCTCAACCCCGGGTAATACTTTTCCTTCGAGTAGTTCTAAACTCGCACCACCACCAGTGCTTACGTGGCTTACTTTATCCTCGGTTTTCCATTTAGCAGCACACGTGGCTGTATCACCACCTCCGATTATAGTAATGGTACCTCGCTTTGTTGCCTCCACAATGTTGTCCATTAAACTTTTCGTGCCTTTGCTAAAATTCTCAAATTCAAACACGCCTGCTGGACCGTTCCATACAATAATTTTCGCTCTCTTGACTGGTTCTGCAAATTGAAGAATTTAGATTGAAAGATATTTTTATGCAGTAGTATTCGAACGATCGAAATACGTTCAATAAAATAAAATAAAATAAAATAAAGTAATAGGTCAGAGAAAGAATGCCAATACTCACCGCTAAATAATTCTCTTGATTTTGGTCCAACATCAAGGCCCATCCAACCATCAGGTATACCTGTTTCCAAATCAGCAGAACCGACAGCTGCATTTTCGGCAAATTTATCCGCGGTTACAAAATCGACGGGTAAGTGTATTTGAACCTTGTTCTTTTCGGCTTTCGCTAATATCTCGTTAACAATTTTTGCGCCTTCTTCGTCGAATAATGAATTACCGATCTGTCATAAAGAAAATGTTTAGACGTTTAATTTATGTTACTGATAAAATGAAATAACGAAACGCTTACCTTCATATTTTTAGCTACTTTTAAGAAAGTATATGCCATTCCACCAGCTATGATCATTTCGTTAACTTTATCCAGTAAATTATTTATTAACTGTATTTTATCTGTAACCTTTGCACCTCCTAGTATTGCCAAGAAAGGTCTTTCAGGATTATCCAGAGCTTTAGCAAAATATTCCAATTCCTTTTTCAAAAGGAAACCACTTGCTCTTATTTCGTACCCTTCACCAAGCATAGAGCTGTGAGCACGATGCGCTGTACCGAATGCATCGTTCACATACACGTCTCCTAGTTTTCTTAATGATTTTCTAAATTCCACAACTTTATCTTTGTCTGCTTTTATCTGTAAAAAAAAAAAAATTCAAGTTATCAAGGAACATACTAGTGGATAAATGTAAATGGATATATCAAGAGAAGGAGCTACGCGAATCACCTACTTTACTTCCATCGGGACCGACTCCTTTGCCTTCTTCTTCTATGTAAAACCTTAAATTTTCAAGCAAAATAATAGTTCCAGGTGCGGGGTTAGCGCAAGCAGCTTCGACCTCTGGTCCAATGCAATCGTTCAAAAATAAAATCTCCTTTCCGAGTAAAGATTTTAATTCATCTGCAACTGGCTTTAAGGTATACTTCATGTCCTTTTTTCCATCGGGTCGGCCCAGATGAGACATTAAAACAACAGACTTGGCTTTCTTTTCAAGAGCATACTTGATCGTGTCCAATGCAGCCACGATTCTCTGGTTATTTGTTATTTTGCCTTCCTTGAGTGGCACATTGAAATCTACCCTGAAATGTCAATGGATACGTAGAAACATTTCTATCCTCATACGAATCACATAATAATTGTTTGTAAGTTGAAGAAAGTAGAAAGTAGAAAACTATGTACCGTATGAGAACACGTTTATCTGTAAGGTCCACTTTATCGATGCTGAGCTTGTTCAACCCCATGATTTTAGATTTTGAATGTACCGTCCTTGTTACTATTTCACTTTCAATTTGTAGTATATCGAGAACGATCCCTAAATGCGTTAAACTCTGTGAGGTGTACGACTTGGTCAGAGAATTCTCGTTCTTAACTACCTTCGTAAATCTCGTATCGCCGATACGGTTTGTCTCGTCAAAGTCAAAGCAAGGGCAACGAATGTAGCGACATCTTATAAATTTTCGAGCCGCGCGCATCAAACAGCTGTTCCGTGTGATACGGTACATAGTTGTTGGTTCTGTATGTGCTCTTTATCTAGGTAAAGTCAGCTAGAGTACGCAATTGTACATTCGCGTAATTACGTACGAAAGGGAAGAAATGAAAAACAAATGGAGATCGTATGTTACGAATTTCGAGCTAAAGAACATGGTAGACAAATATGGGTACAAATGTTTCCTACACGAAACGTTTTAACGAGGTATGGTAGGCCAATTTGTTTCTAGAACATTTCTTTCTACATTTTCTATTTCTGGTTGAAATTGATTGTCTGCGCGCGAACTATTCGATGAGGACAGTAAACAAAATACGAAAACAAAGACTGACAATGAATAGGAACGAAGGTAACTGGTGCGCTTTGCATTCGCGTTCGCTCTTTGGTGTGCAGCCAGCCTACAGGCGCTCTACATCGATATCGATTATATTCTCTAAAGAAAAGATAAGGGTTTATTAGATTTCTATCGGTGGGAATCCTTCAATCCACAAAATCTTTTACCTTTTCGTAATGTACATACATTTTCGTCTGTTTTCCTCTTAGTATGGTTAAATAAAAATTTGGGTATGCCCAGATTTTAACAGATATGATCTGTCTATGTTCCATAAGCAGTATTCGATCAACGTCTGGTATTCCGGTATTTCGCCTGACCGATGCTATTCTCGATTCTGGCATAGTAGCACAGTCGCACGACCGTTTATTTGCTCCTAAAACTAAGGTGAAATGGTAGGTAGTAGGTAATAGGTAGACGGCTACCGGTAAATGTGAAAAGAGCGTGAAAATTAATTTTTTTTTTACGTGTACGTAAGCGATGTCATAACAATTCTTTATCGTATTCGTACTTTTTAATACTATTTTTTTTTTTTTGTTTTAATAGCTGTTCGACCGCGTCGCGTCGCTTTGCGTCGCGTCGTCGACTCGTGCGAATTGTGTGTATGAATCGCTCGAGGCTGCTTTAACCGATGCCGTACCGAAATAACACAACTTTGCTGAACGCGAAGGCGGTATACGCGAAATATAGCCATGTATATTTTCTCACGGAGAATTTCGAGACAATCGCATTTTTAGAACGCGAGACCAATCGCCTCCGACTAGAAAATTTTTAACAAACGTTAACTTTTGATTGATCGCACACCTACCTACGTACCTAAATTTACCGTAGACGCGTTCGAGCTTTCATTTTATAATTTCGAACGATATACGCGTATAATTTACGTTACATTCGCGAAGAATTAGGTTAGACGCTCGATCGTAACCGATATTCGAATGGAAAGGTAAACAGTTTAAGGTAAACGGTTTAACTATCGGTATTCGAATAAAAATCACATATGAGTAATTCAGGGTAATCGGATGGCAGAAACGTGATAAATGAGAGTCAAGGTCTGGTACGTATGTATGTATGTATATGTATATTACGATAGAATGCAACACAATACAATACAATGTTTTTTGTACGCGAAGAGACAGTGTCCGCGATCGGTTCGATTCAAGACGGCCAGTTAGGAGAGGGAGAGGATCGAGAAGAGGAGGAGGCGATGGAAGAAAAAGGAACACCACGCTAGTGGTGTCAGTCCAATGCCAGTGGAACGCGACGATTCGTGTTCTTCATCTGGCTCGTTCGAGAGAACTTGGGTTACCGGTTCGTTCATCGACTCTTCTCGTTCTTCTTTGGATCGCGGGATAAATTTTACTCGATCATCGTTTATAGTGCTCTGCATGGGAGGGACCGTGGAATCGTCCACGGTATTACACCCGTATCGATTCTTTCCGCCTTATCGAACCGTTCGCCCGTTCCTTGTGTTCGATCTCGATCGACGCGCCGATTCACCACCGTCACCACCGCCGTTGTTACCATCACCACCGCCACTGCCATTGCCACCGCCACCGCCACCGCCACCGCCACCGCCACCGTTATCACAGTCGTCGCCGTAATCATTCTACTTTACGCCAGCTTCGTGTACCCATCTTCTTACTCGGCACCAACTTTTCATTGCCTTTTCTTATCATCCAGTCCCCCTCTTGTTTGGAGCAATGAAATGGTACGTGACGATTATATCTTTCGAGACGTTTAAACTCCACCATTCGATTTCCCACCCTTTCTCACTCTACCCCCCGGCCCTCTTTTCGCAGTCTTTTTGCGATCACTAATTTTTACCCGGCTCTTCCTTCTCGTATGCGTTCGTAATCTTCGCAAAAACGCCGCATACCGAGTTGTGCATGTATTTTTAAAATTCTGCAAAATGTACATAGACGCATGTATCCCCGGGTTGCAGAGGAATTTCGAATCCGAGAGTCGTCTTCTGATTCAAGAATAATCCACGCGAGTGTTGAAGAATTAGCAGGCAAACACAGCCACTTAGAAAAGTATGTACCTTGGCGCGGTGAAAGATGTTACTTCGCGTATCATATACACATACAGAGTGGGGTCGTTTAAAAATAGACGTTTAAACTTAAATTATGCCCTCTGGCGAATTGAGTTAGTAATTTAAGCATTTCGAAATTTCATTAGCCGTTACTTGTGCTATTCGCGAGTCAGTCTTATCGAATATGTCATCGAAAAGCACGACGAGTCATTGTTCGGATCGATACTCGATGCATTCGATTTAAAATGAAAATACCGTCGCACGTTCAACATCAACAGGAAACCATTTTTTTTAATCTCTCAGATTTAACGGTGTCACGGCCAAAATCATAGCGAACAACAATGCTCACTTTGAAACGTACGTTTCGTTTCGTGAATTTTAACGAATGTTTATTATTTCGTATTTATGAATGAGAAATGTTCGAGTCATCGACCCTGATCGCGTACATATACGTACTCAGGCATATATCGATACGAATCTATAAGATACGCATCGAGCAGATAGTTTTGAATATAAATATACATGCGTATAGTTGTAGATTGTTTTGAAGTAGGAGCGGGGCTGCAGTCACGGACCTCGCACTTGAACGAGCTTTATTTTTTATGGAATAATACTCGAGGAAAAGATTACTTTCTATCGGCTAATGCTTTTCCGACGAACGAAATAATTCTTGCGAGAAATCTTTCCAAGGAGTAGGGGATATTTCACGTTACGAGGGAGATAATCTATTAGAATCATTAAAGACATACTCTGACATTCGCGACCGACCCGACTGGGTGTATTATCATGTTGGTTAGGTGTATCTATAATTGTACATAAATACACGCGGGTGTACGTACATATGCGGTAAAATCAAAATGAAAAACACTACACAAAACGTGAGCCGAATTGTAGCGATGTTAAACTTGAATAAATGTGAATGCGTGCGACGTAGATTATATGTTGGATATACGATACGGAAACAGATCTTATTTAGGAAAGCACTACTTCGTTCGACATGAAAAATGGCCAAGAAACGTGATTAAATCTGAAAAACTAAACAGAGGTAATAGTCGGCTGCCTATCGATGCCTGTCAACCTATCGACTGAACTGACGTTTAGAGTTTAGAGCAGTTTAGAATTTAACTGATTAGACCGTGAAGTATTCGAGATCATAGTACGAAAAGAGAGGAAGGTGAGCATCGATCGAGCATTCAGGTCGCTATCTTGCGGCGATTACAGGCATTACGAGTGTCATGGTACGAAATCGAAAAATGGCCGTTCCATCGGTGTTTGACGTGAAGTAGTACAGCTCCCACGGATGTTTTTCGATACGTCTTATTCGTCGCGAAGAAAGTGAATACGGAGGTAAAACGAGCAGTGGGAATAAAAAGACGTATAAAGTAAAATTCCGAATGATCCAAGTTAACGCGCAACGGAACAAAAACGAAATAGTCGAAAACAGCGGGGTGGGGTGGGGTGGGGTGGGGTGGGGTAGTGTTGGGTAAGAGTGGGGGAGGGTGAGCAAAGAAAAAGCGAGAAAGAATGATGGAATGGTGAGGAGAAGATAGAGTTAAACTAGCTGGAAGGGGAAGGAATAGTGATACGAATACGAATACGAATACGAATACAAAGTACCTGAAGAAAAGGGGAAAAGGAGAGATGCGAACGAAAAGTGCGCGATCGTGACGAAACTTACGCGCTGTCCGACTTGGAGAGAAGAGAGGATCGGATTGTGAAGAAACGCCATCAACGATTAGCAAACGACATTGTTAGTAAAAAAAAATATATTACTTATGTGGATCGATTTTTGGAGTGCGCGCGAGGATTTAGGAAAAACTGCGGCACTATATGGCGAGTAGTTGTTACTACAAGAACTACGATCTACATTCTACAATGAGCATCGAAACGAAACCAACAGAGCAAAGCTCTTTTTTTCCTTTAGCTCTGTGCTTTCTCTGTTGGTTCGATTACTTGGCTCACAGGCTCAGCCTGGTTCGGTTGTGCTCGCGACGATTAACGCGAGTTAGCGCAGTTTAGCGACTCGAAAGTATCCAGGGTGCGAATATTAATAATAAACCCGTGAGGGAAAAGAAAAGCAAATGTGACACTTGGTGGCGGGTCGAACATCGTTTAGCGATAGATAGAGCAGGCTGCAGGCAGTCGTCCCCTTCGTACCAACTGCACCCTCCACTCACGGCTCACACGCAATCATGGCTGCCTAACACAGGGCGCCCAGTATCGACCAATTTCCTACCGTAATACCGCTTTAGGTTAAAAACCTAACCTATCTCTGTCTCGGCTTCGGGTTCGGGGCGTGTCGTTCGTCTCACGTTGACAGCTAGAAAACTCGTTCCACCGGACCCTTTTCTAACTTTGTTTACGCCATCGTTGCGTCAATTTTATTTCATCGTCCTTCTGCCTTCGTATCTATCCTGTCTGTATCCTTACTTTACCGTGTCTTTCTTTTCCGTCTATCACTAACGAGAACACGATAGTGGCCTAAACATTTACAGAATGCATATAATTCGCCCAATTTTCCACGAGCTCCGTATAAGTGATCGCTCGCGCTTTTCAGGAATCTCGACCATTCTACCAATTTGCTGTCGAGGAATGTAGGCGACGAAAGTACGGACCAGAACAATAATATAACTATGACGAGTGAGGATTTGTTACAGCCTGGCCATGTGGTCAAAGAACGCTGGAAAGTTGTAAGTTAGTTTTATCATTTAATATTTCTTTTTTTTTTTCTTATATGCCTCTCTTCACGTAAATTTTTTATAAAATCACGTGTCTTTTTATTCGTTTTAATCCGACGATGCTTTTTATCCTCTTTATTTCACAGGTTAGAAAAATAGGAGGCGGTGGATTCGGTGAGATTTATGAAGGCCTAGATTTAATGACGAGGGAACAAGTCGCGTTGAAAGTTGAATCCGCGCGTCAACCAAAGCAGGTTCTTAAGATGGAAGTCGCAGTATTAAAAAAACTTCAGGGTTTGTTGAAATTTTGTATCGTTAAACAAGGAAACATGGTAAAAACGTGTTGCTTGCTTTATATTGGTATAATCTAACTACGAATCGATCTAAATCGATCCATTTATCGTAGGAAGAGAACACGTGTGCCGTTTCATCGGTTGCGGTCGCAACGATCGATTTAATTATGTTGTGATGCAGTTACAAGGCAAAAATCTTGCAGAGTTACGTCGTGCTCAACCACGAGGTGCTTTTTCCCTCTCCACTACTCTTCGTTTAGGGGTTCAAATTCTCAGGGCGATAGAAAGTATACATCAAGTAGGCTTTCTTCACAGAGACATCAAGCCGGTAAGTTTATTTTCCTTTGCATCAACTCATCTACCAAAAAACGTTAGATTACACGATTAGCGTTACTTATTTATATATTCGGAATGTCAATTTGTAATCAGATATTCACGTAATATGTATTATTTGATTTCGCAAATCATAATCGGTCGGTCGGTATTTGTTTCATTTTAAAGATTATGTCTTCATCAAGGTACGATTTGTTATTACAATTCTTACCACGATACAAGACGCGTCCACCGTTTAATAGCGGACATTGACATTGTATAAAGATAGCATTCGCAATTAATCGCGTAACTGTTAACGGCTCGTTTCAGAGACGATATTATATTTCCAGTCAAATTTTTCAATCGGACGACTTCCGCAGAATTCGAGGCTAGTATACATGTTAGACTTTGGTCTAGCTCGTCAATTTACGACAGGCACCGGTGAAGTTCGGCCACCTCGCAGTGCAGCAGGATTCAGGGGTACCGTCCGGTATGCGTCCGTGAATGCGCACAAAAACAAAGAAATGGGCAGGCACGATGATTTGTGGTCGCTATTTTATATGCTAGTAGAATTTGTCAACGGACAACTTCCGTGGCGGAAAATAAAGGATAAGGAGCAGGTAAATCCAACGTATAGCGATCGAATACAAATGTCGTTGAAACAATATAATACGTCATGGTAATTCTCCTTGACGCAGGTGGGTCTCATGAAAGAGAAGTACGATCATCGCTTACTCTTGAAACATCTTCCATCGGATCTTCGAGTTTTTTTGGAACACATTCAGGTACGAAGAAAATCTCTTTAATCGATCGATACGAGCAGCTAGTCGATTCTCTTTTGATTGTTCTTTCTCAGAGTTTGGAATACGCGGATAAACCGGACTATGCGATGCTAGCTGGCTTATTCGAACGGTGCATGAAACGTAGGGGCGTGAAAACGAACGACCCTTACGATTGGGAAAGACCATTGATGGCCAACGAAAGTTTACCAACTACGAGATCTTTGCCTACGGTTACCGTACCTCCGGTCTTGACCACAGCGACCACAATCAATCAACCACCGACTACACCAAACGTTGACACAAACAATCAAGAAAACGTCGAACCCGACAACAGAAAGGAGTTAGATGTAAGACAAGATAACGCTAACAGTGCACAGGACCGAGATTGCGTAGACATTACTTGTTGGAGTATACTGGACGTATTATAACGTATCTAGAACAACCGGTTATTTTGGACTGTTACTTTGTTTATTTTTCAGGCACAAATGGATTACGAAAGCATGTGCAGGAGAAATAAACAACGCGGGGTGGAAGGATCTGCGGTGCCGTTTACGTCAGCTATCAGCAATCACGGTCGAGATAAGAACTGTAACGCTACGATACCTACGATGGACAATACTCATCAGCAAACAGGACAGCAAACTGTTCTTCCGCCGACGGCTCAAGGTTACCATACTACTACTACTACCACCGTATTTAAATCTTAGGCCTTCCGTCTTTTACCTGTTGTTTCTATTCTCTATTTTGATTTATAGGTTCACCGAAAAAGCGGCGTGCCGTTTCGATGGCTGCAGAACCACAAACGGGTGTGGTGACATCGGAAAAGCCGGTCGACAACGAAGGAGACGCATTGATGGCGTCTGCTCGTTCCGCTTCCGAAGTTCCCCGCAATAAAATTGGCGCGAATGCTGCAGCGCCGTTAAGAAAATCAGCCAGCGGCGCAACATTCGCTCGATTACGGGTAACGCCTGCTCCGGACACGACACCTGGTGAACCACCTAGTCCTCGAGTGCAGACCGAAGTCGACGCTTCGTATTGTTCCTACGACGTTACCAATCAAAAATACGTTGGCAATCAAAGCCCTGTACGTGCGAAAACTGGATTTCTTCGACCGAATCAGTTTAGAATAATTTCGTTGGAAAAATGGTTTTTATCTCATAACAGGTCACGGAACAAAGAGAACCACTGAAAAGAGAACCACGAAGAAGGACAGACGGCCGGCAGCAAGCAAGAGCTAGCCGTGCTGCGATAAAAGACTGCTCCATCACCCAATTTGCGCAGATAGATGACGACAACGTATCGGCGTTGCAACAAGTAACCAAAGGCGGTGGTGGCTTGACATTGGCCTCTCAGTGGAAATCGCAGTTCGATGACTCCGAAGAGACCGACAACGAATGGAAAGGAGAAAATTTACAGAGCCCCGAGCACAAAGGTGCCAACTTGCCAGCTATAGTTCCACAGGTAAATATGTGATATCTTAAATAATAGCGTATTACCATCGTCTTCATCCGGAACAAATGGTATCGATGAGTATCGTTTCGAGGAGAAATAGCTGGACCAGAACGTTCGGAATACAAATTTCAATCATCTATAGTAATAACAGTCCAAAACTACGCGATCCAAATTTCTTTCGTGAATTTCTCTCTCCTTCTCTCTTCTCCTGCCAAACTGTTCGAATGCATCAAAAAAATACAAAAGTTCCTGTAAAATTATATAACGATTGCCACTCGATGCATTGGAACAATTGGGAAAAGGGATTGGAAAATGTCGACGGGTTCGTGTAATAAGATACCGAGATGAAGAAATAGGGACCACCGTAATGTACAGTGTGTCTGAAAATTATGGGAGAAACCGAAACATGGAAATTTTTCATGCGTAAACAGTAAAAATTTACTGTTTAAAAAATGGTAAATAAGTTTTTAATGTTTTTTTCTTCCGTGAGAAATTTGCATGTTTCGACGTATTCGATTCGATTTTATATAATATTAACCTTTTCGTATATGTACATGCGCGCGCGCATGTGTCTGTGTATGTAATAAATTAAAAAATTTGCACGAATCGTCTGAAATGCAGGAAACTCATAAATATGTTTGATATTCTAGCCACATCTGGCCAGTATCGATGTCCTCGTTTGATGCGCCTGTTACCTGCCACAGAACCAAATCGACCTCCTTATCTATCGTCGCCGCAAACTTGATATATTTTTCTATATTCTGTATTGGTATTTTTCCCCATTGTTTGGCTCTTTACTCTGTGAAATGTTTACTTTTTGAGTTTCGAGTAGAAATTAATTCTAGATTGCCTCCTAAAGTAACGAAACGTGATCTGAAAAAGTCTGAAATAGTTGTCGAAGCGCATATGTTTTTAGGTAACGTGGTTCTTTCGGTTTACGTAAACCACATAGCGATTCGAAATGCAATATACGCTTTACGCTGTATAAGAATAATACGAGGAGAGACGCGAACGAATCCGAAAAATTGTGTAACGTGTGTACGGTGATTAAGTTTTTCGTCAATTTTCATATATCTTTCCATTTGCGTTGATCGGCGAACCCTTAAATAGAATACAGAATGTTTGTTTTGTACAAAATTTCTATATACAGTCGACAGTTGTCAGTGATGCTGTGACTACCGCATCTTCAGTGCCTGCTTCTATCGACGCGAAAACAGTGGTGGTTCAGTCTGCCGCGTCGGTTGTGTCTCATCAGCATTCACTAATACCGACCGCCCTATCTCGAATAAGCGAAGATTCTCCAAAACCTACGGCTCTTCACAGATGTTTAAACATTGCCGGTATCGAGAAATATCCAGAACTTCAGGGAGCACTGCCACGCGCATGGAGCGTTCCAGCGTTGGCGCCGCATGTTCGTGGTTATCTCGAAGCACCGTTGGTTCGTAGATTTCATTCGTAATGTTCATATTTCAGCTGTGAGATATATATACCAAACGACGACGAACGTATCGAATTGACTTGGTTTCAAGAATTTTTACCCCATAATAGTTTGTATTTTTATTAATAGGTTCAACAAGCGGCGTTCGACGATTTGTTGTACGAAGTCGATGTCATGAGAAATATCGCTACGCGTTACGATGAACCGAGACAAAGTCCTCCGCCACGGCGAGCAAGCGTACCAGCGGTTGCTTTCTCACCGCCTAACACGATGCCTAGTACGCCCGGGGGGGAAGAAGAAGAAGAAGCAGTAGCAGGAAGGTTGGAGATAAGGGTAGTCGATGCGACAGGTGGCGCTACCGTTGTTCAAACCACCGCTGATAGAGAACCGTTACAAAGTAAGCGTACAGAGTATTTAAAATATTGGCGTACTCGCGGATTCCTCTCTTCGTATTTTCGCTTGTCTTCGTCTTGTAATCGTCGTCTATTCGTTCGAAACGAAAGGTTTCCACTAATCAAGGACATGATTTCGTATTTCGACTTTTCATTCGAAAACTGTACGATAACGAACAATACTGATCTGATTCGACAGGAAAAATGACAAACGGTACAGCGGATAGTCTAGCTAGTCCTAATCCAGGACCGGAGGAACCATCGATATACGATGATGCCATTGAAAATCGGGTAGCCGTCGATGCTGCCGTGCATAAGGAGAACAGTACTATCACTGCCTCGACCACTATACCGAATATAGTACAGCTTCGTGAATTTAAGGACAATAAAGAAAAGGAAACTCCGTGTAGGACCTATAACACTGTCAGTAAAATACCGATTCCGGTTAAAAGTCCTAGATGTTCGCTATCAGAGTCCACTCCAGAAACGAATACTCAGAATACCAGGACATGCTTGGGAAACGAAATAGAAAAATCGTCCACACCCGCGGCTATAACCAGGGAAAAAGATGCTAGTTAGTAAGATTTTTTTTAGCTTAAACAATAACATTACGATTCTCTCTGGAATCCTCGTGTGACGTTTAACATTGTACATTTCTGTTTAACGAGTTTCATAAATTCAATTTTTTTTTTTCGAATCGATGAAATTCAAGTGAATTAGAAGAGTATGTGCAACACACACACACACACACACAATTTTCGAATACAAATTTTTCGCTATAAATATCAACTTAATACAATACTATCGAAGAATTCCAGGTCATTCGATTAACTTTATTTTTCTTTTCGATTCGCACACAATCATTATTTAATAAAAGATATGCGTATAATTGTACGGTTCTATCCGATGAGAAAAAAAAACAAAGAAGGGCGGAAGAAACGAAAAGGAAGATCTGCGCTTCGTTAATAGTATTTGTTTTGGAAGCTGATTTCTCGCGATTAATACAAAGTATAGCTTCGTAGCGATACTAACATTGCCAAATTTTAGCTATCAAAGGCAAACCCTTGACAGTGCATTGGGAGGCCCGGGAACTACGACGCTGCGCAACTTTGCCTGACGCACGACCGACCTTTTCACCTCTAATGTCGGCTAACTTGACGGAAGATGAGAATTTAACTGGATGCACTCCTGCATTACGTCGCCGAAGACAAAGCGAGAAATACGTAACGGATGCTAGTCAACTAAATTTACGGTTCCAAAGACCGCAACACAGAATCAGGCCGAATTCCGAAGTACTGTCCAGATGTTCTCCTAGAGGCGTGCCTTCGCATCTATTGGGAGAAGCCGCTAAACGAACCGAAGAGAGCAGCGATAACGATTCCGATAGCAGTAGCCCGCCGAATGCTCAACCTCCGCCACCTCCCACCTCCTTGCCGCCTCATGTTGCAGAAAATAATGCTAGGTAAATAGCCTTTTTATAATATTATGATATACATACTACATACATTCAGACATCCTACGAACACTTACGGACACCTAGAAAGAGAGGAGAGAACCTTTTTTATTCCAATCGAGATCAAGTTATTCTAACGTGCCAACGAGTGCACCAATCGAATCGTTATCGTTACGATTACAGATGCCGTAGATTTCGACCCATACCAGATACAACAATAGCTAGCAGAGAATCGTGAGGTACGCCACTTATGGAAAGGAAACCAAGTGTTTGTTTAGATTACGATCATCACAGCTTCGTAATCTGCTCGTTCGATACTTACTACTTCTTTCTACGTAGGTGAAAGAAAGTATCAGTTTATCGGCGATCAAGTGTAAACCATATAAAACTTGTTGAAACTTTCAAACTTATCAAAAACCTTGATACGTGGGGAACCTTTGTTTTCTTGAATAGAGCAATTTCGATTGTTCAAAGATATTACAGATTTAGGAAAAGTTACTACGACTTTATAATTACGATACATTTTCATCATTTTTCTGCATATTGTATTTTAGAAATATTTCCGATCCAGTCCATTCGTCCGCTTATTATTTATTTTCGTTACAAAACTATCGTAAAGCGATGGTCACATAAATTGATGGTACTTGAAAGATTACACTTTCTAATCTATAAACGATATGCGTTTGTTGATCCGACAAATATTGATGCGTAAATCGTGTACGTTAACAATTGCAGCTACGATACACAATTGAGGCGGCTCGGTTGTAGAATAATTGTCAGGGAGGTTTTGTTTATAGCAAGAAAGTTTTTAGTATGTTTTCGTTTGTTTCTTCTTCCTCTTCTTCTTTCATTTTTTGTCAATCGATTATGATGTTATCTTCGTCGGTTACTCGCTCAATCGAAGTAGAGCAATTTCGTATACAAATTCAAATTGTCGACAATAGATATTGTATTCCATTTAGAGTTTTGAACACGAGTCATAGGCGAGAATTATCTTTAATCGGAGTGCTCGAATAAATAGATCTCTTTGAAAAACCACCGTCATAGTTGAGAAATATTGTTCAGCAACAATATCAGCAATGGCAACGACGAAAGTCGTAACGATAAAAGCAACAGTTGCATTATTAACGGTAAATCACGTATCGCGTGATAGGGAATCGCTTGTATTAAAGCGACGAGAGAAAAAAGAAAAGATGAATCCAGTTAAAATGAGAAAATACGTTTTATTTACGCGTGCAACTCTCCAATCGATTTAAGACGTTTATTGTCATCGAGTTCTATGCGACGAAACAAGGTGCGAATGAATAAGTACTTGAAAAAGTTCTAGTTAGGTAATATATTGTATAATTAACGCGTATCTGTCTTGCACTTACCGGTAACGTGATTTTTCCAAACAGTTACGAATCCGCAGTCGAAAGAAAACCTAGTGATGCATAAAACTAGTCAAATAGAATCCTTTAGTATTCTATTATCGAAACCAAATTTCCGCATAGAGTTATACATATTGTACTTGTACAAAGTAGTTAAGGTTTTATTTTGTGCAATGGTCGAAAATAACATTAACGATGCGATGAAATAGCTTTAAGTCGGAGTCGGAAAATTTATTTTGCGACATAAAATATGTGCAAACTATCCGAACGAAAAATACCAAATTACCGTAAATATATGAGCAACTGTACGGATTGGTATGAATGAGTCCATAAGATTGGTATGAATTTCTGTACGTATATACGCTTTCCCGTATATTCCTACACGATCCTCGAACGCTCGTTTGAGATTACGCAAAACTTTATGTGCAAACATACATAAATTATAAAGCTATTATGAAAAAGTGAAAACAATGAACATTGTGTAAATCGATAATGGATCTGTAATCGAAGATCATATGTACGTTTGAATGTAAACAAACACGCATAATACAGCTCATTGGACGTATCTCTTATTTAGATTTGTAATCGAAACGCATCGTAGCATACTTATACGACTCACTTTGAAAGTTCACACCTTCATGAAAATAAAGAAAAAGTGTTTTGTTTTCGAAAGCATGGAACAAGAGATTATTAACATAAACATGCCGACTGTTATATCATTCGTTGCATTACAGTTTTTACTAAATTCGAATAATACGAGTTTACCGCGGCAACTCGTGCGCACACATTCGTGCACGCCCACAACGATTGACTCTCGCCTGACAATCGCTGTTTGTTTCACTGATACTGACTACGCAACTGACGGTGCTCTCGCTGCTCGTATCCTCGGTATACTAAAGTCACTAAATAAAGTATCTAGTGCCTTTATGCTAATTGCATTCATCGAAAGAACGATCTATTCTCGGTGGACGCAGTATAGAATGATACATTTTCGGCAACACAAACCCACCATTGTTTGTCGTTAGGCGTCATTGTTCGTGCGATAAACCAGACGCGAGTAAGCACGAGTGAGTACGACGCACGTTATGTCCGCGTCTTTGTATAAATACTGATATCGTGGTATAGCGATAGCACTAGCTTCAACCAGCCTGTCTCAGTGTCGTGTAGTCATGTTATAGTTTATAACGGTCTCTTTAGGTGTAGGTACCTCGTTTGGTTACGTCCAAGTGTGCAAAAGGAACTGTACCAAGTACTTTTTGTATTGGTCAGCGCCACATGAAAATGCAACCAATCAAATTTACTCGCAATTCTGGATAATAGGCGTCACTTGCCCTAGTCTATTTGATTAAATTTAGACTCCGTCCGTATAATCCTATTTTTATGGTAGGTATCGGTAATTTCGTATCATTTCGTATTTTTAGACCGGAACACAATGGAGGACAGTGAGGTAGCCAAGAGACAAATTATTAGTATATAGTATGCAGTCAAGTGACTACTTGACTAGCTACGACCGGCTGCGACAGGAACCAAGGAATTAACTGTAACTCCATTGTGTTCGTTCGCGTTCGCAGCCTTTTATATTCATTTTGTGATTTTGTCACGCTGGTCATCTCATGCCGTCAGTATAAGCATTACTTATAATTACTACTATCGCTTAGCATTATTAATCGTATATTATTCATCGGAATAAAAACAATTATTAACGCGAAAATGCTCTCATAGGAACTGTATCGTCAATTTTGACTTTTCATGGGTTGAAATTTCAGTTACAGTTAGAATTCCCGCGATGCTCGCAAATCTTTAATCAATACCTCTGCTATCGTCGATATAGAGATATTTTGTGAAACCACATGAAACAGATTATGTAAGTACGGTACATGTTGTCTAAGCTTTGTTAGAAATTCAAAAGCACGAGTCCATCAAGAATACGTTACGGTATGTAAAGCGACGCTAACCTAACTTTCGTGTGATCATGTTGGATTTCATTTGTGATAATTTCTGTAGAATACCAAATAAAATGTAAAAACATAGGGCACGAAAGGCTGAAAAGCCATTTAATAAGGTTAAATTTATTTACGAAATCCTATATAGATATTTTATTATTGTCCTCGATGCCAATGAGACAAATTCTAAAAAGGAAAGAAAATGGAGCGAATACGCATTCATCGTACTTTGATTTCAGACGATGTGGCCACTGTTGGGTAGAGTTTTAGGTAGATTTGGCAATTACATACAACTTCCTATTGTTTGTGTCATTGGCTATTTGGGGTATCGTATCGAAGGAGTGCTATCCAATCGTTACACACCCATGACTGCACCGATAAAACAACAACGCGAAGAAAGACTATTGGAGGACATAGATTCTACACCAGTCAAGAAAGGACACCATCCACTGGAAGTGAATCTTCCTCCGTCATTATCCGTGTAAATGCACCTGTGTTTTGGTTAAAGACTAGGGTAAATTACAGACAAAATGCTACAACGTAGAATCAAAAATGTAATTTTATAATAGACTGTAGGTTAAAATAGATTACATCAATTATTATACATTTTGCCTATATGCCAATGGAAAGATAATTTCCAAGAATACGCATGCTTCATTCAGTGTAGTATACCAAGTTTGTAAATAACAATATGGTGATACGTTTGCCCAGGTTCAACTATACTATTAGGAAAATTCTCCTGCAAAGTTTAAGATAAAAAATCAATCGTCGTTAAAATAATGTAACCATATTCAACGTAGTTTACGTACGATACGATATTTTGATACTTACATGATTGACCGCATCTGGATAATTTTGTGTTTCTAAACACAATGCTCCATGCTTAAAATACTTTGTTCCATTTTTTCCTTGAATACCGATACCGTCTCTTTCAGGTAGAAAATTTGCCGTATAAAATTGTACTCCAGGTTGATTGGAATAAACCTCCAAATACCTTCCAGAGGTGGGGTGCACGACTCTAGCAACAAATTGTTTCTCATTCGCAGTCTCCGTCGGTAGACAGAAATTATAATCGTAACCACCGCCTGGTACTTTATCTATGACATCTCCTAGTGTAGTCAAATTTCTCAAATCCATTACGGTATTCTCGACCGAGCGAATTTCGCCGGTAGGAATGCTCTCCGTATCGGTAACCGTCCAACGATCCGCATTCAACGTAATTTTATGTTTGTACAGTTCGGTTGCGTTGCTTTCCTGTATCATACACATATTTCGCGTATTGTTAAAATCGAGCAATGAAAATAATTAACGTAAAAATTATGGTAAAGATTAATTTACGCACATGACCAGCTAGATTAAAATAACTGTGATTAGTCAAGTTGATCGGAGTAGGTTTGGTAACGACGACTTTCATGTCGATACGCAATTCTCCGTCGGCAGTTAACTTAAAACTGACCGAAGCCGTAGCGACACCGGGAAAACCTTCGTCGCCGTCTTCGCTTATTAACGACAATACAAGGGAATTGTTTTCAATCGTGGAGTTCCATATTTTCGAGCTCCAACCATTGAAGCCACCGTGCAGAGTGTTCTCTCCTGCGTTTTTCGCTAAACTATATTTTTTTCCGTTCAAAGTAAACGCTGCTTTGCCAATACGATTTGCGACTCGTCCGACCGTTGCACCGAAGTACGGATTAGTCGAAGACGAATACTCTGTGAAAATATTATGTATTTGACGAATGGGTTACTTTGAACGATCCAGATTTGTCGGGTCCTTGAAACGACGATACTTTTACCTTCAACATTATCGAAGCCTAGAACGATATCTGTTATTCTACCCTGTTTGTCAGGTGTTCGGATGGACGTTATTGTTGCACCGTATGTTACGACATCCACTTCTTGACCTGCATCGTTCTTTAACGTGTACTTTTTTATCGTTACTCCGTCGATAGATCCCCATTCCGTAACAGTTATTAACTTTTCACAGCTCGAATCCATGAACGACCTGAATAATATTAAATTAAATAGATTAGATCTATATAAAATTGCGAATCTTATACATTATTTCTCGATTAAACGAAATATTAGCGAGGTTAGATGCACACACAATTTCAGTTGAATACGTAAAGGAAAGTGAGCGTATGGTCGTATCGGCAAGCTTACGATTAATTGTGAGTTGATATATGGCTCGTTGTAAACGTCGAGTACCATCGTATCAATTTCAATACGTGTGTCATGTTATCGCGTGATTCGACAGTGTGCGTTCAGTTCCCACAAGCCTTGTTAACGTCTATTTACTATTTCCTCTAATTAATTGCACATTACAAAAGTGGAGTAGTTTCTGTTAATTGAGATCGGTTTATTACACGTTTTCTCCTATTACTTATCTTTCTATACCTAAAGTAAACGTCACCTAACCTTACCCAAGTAAACAAAAACTTATTATCGCTATGTAATCAAAGAACTGCATATTGACGCGATGTAGCAGACAACTCAATTGAAAATGAAAGTCGCAATATCCTATCCTGTCCTTTTTAATAGCTGTAGCTGCGCTTCTAGTATACATATGTATAGTACGTATGTACTACGTATCCTTTTATGCGCGATAATTGGTTTTACTGTTTATCGAATCATTAGGTATGTAAATTGTTGAAAACAGAACTGTATCAACATTTTGCATTAATCAAGTTGTGATATGCACGGTATATAGAAGATATACATAGATGATAGGTTTTGTATATGTAAATATATTGTATATACATGCATACTTGTTTATTTGGGAAAAGACATAATAACATTGAAAACAAGAACACACGAACCGGTTTACGCAAAATAAATTCATTAGATGGTATCGTTCTTTGTAATTTTTATATAGTGTAGTCGGTATTTATGAGAGGAAAGTGGGAGTTATCTAATCTCTGTTATCCACTACGCGAAATACCAATCACAGCATGTTCACGATATCATCATCGCGCTGCTAATTTCCTCCATCTACGTGATCTTAAAATTTTCCAAGCAAAGTATTTCTTTCGATGAATAAATTTCGTCTCGTAATTTGTTCGTTGTAATTGTTCTTGTTCGTTCGGCAGGAGACAGAACGAACTCGACAAAAATAAAAAAAAAAAAAGGTCGAACAACTGGAACAAATTAAAGGATAGCATTGTTTTTTTAATATCTCCATTAATTATTAATAACTCGATACTGTAGTTCGTTGTTGATGATCTCGTTAAGTTGGTACTTGATATCGTACATATACTTTCGTGTTTTGTACTCGTAGAGCTTTTGGAGATATACGTAATTCTGAAAAACGATTAAGCGTCTGGACCACGAGATTAGTTTCCTAGAAATGTAAAGAATTTCTATCGATGCGTCATCGCTGTACGTACACATGTATACATACATAAGGTACATACGTCCTTACATATATGCACAAGTATGCGATTCGATTAATCGTCGAACGATCGATCTGTCGATTAACGAATCGAATCAATTGCAAAAAAAGTTAGAAAATTTTACGCGAAATAAGAAATTTATTAGATTTTTAGATTTTCATTCATATACGATACGTGCATGAGAGAGCGTTTATAGCGTGCAAGCATGCGCGCGCATGCGATAAACAGGTGCTCGTATGGAATGGAATGTGGCAAAGAATGGTTGCGTTGCGACTTGCGATGTACCGTAGCGGCGCTATCATCGTTGAAATACAAAAGCAAAAGTAGGGGAAACCCGAAGCGAACGCTTATTGGTTAACGCACGTTACGTGTCGCGGATCGTTTTGTAGGTTGCTTGCTTCGCATTTTCTATCAATTTGTGCATAAACACGAGTTACGTGCGCGTTAGGCTTCCATTCTGTAAGTGTGTCTAGCGTATTCGCATCCAGGCACGCAACAAGTACAGGTGAATCGGGGCACGCTAGTAAAAATAATTGTTTATTTGTAAAGGGAGTTCCGCGAAACTTGCAAATCACGTATCGTCGTATTAGTGAAGTGATGGTGAACTCGACGAACGAGTCGGTTCTTCGATAGTGAAAATTATTAATCGAGTAAACCGAGAAAAACCGACTGTTGCGTAAACATCCGATTTGTGACAATAAGCGACGATATCACGCAGTTATACGAAACACGTACAAACTTTGCTCGAATTACCAGTGAATTTGTACGATTACGGACACGATAATTTCGTACTTCTAAGACACGCGACCTTCTCTATTTAAAGATATTAAGACGACCGCGCGTGTTGGTGATTCTAACCTCGTTCTCGTTATACAAAAGCATACCGAGTAAAGACGTCTGTAGGCGTAGAAGGCTAAGAAGCCAAGAGTTTAAGATCTGCGTCTTTGCCACTTGGAAATTTCACGATGGGTCTGGGAAACAAGGTATGTAACTTTTTCTCCATGGTCGTACTCTCGTAAAAATGTGACTTCTCATTCGGTTTTTTTTTATGACATTTATTTCACGTAAAACGTAGAAATGATGGTAGTAGACGAACAGAAACAATAAAATGAAAATTTACCTATCTATGTTCGACGTACGAGTATAATGAATAGTATAATTCGACTTGGTAGGTAATTGTAATTGTTTCTCTGCTCGGATATTATAGGGATTCCGGATTTTGAACGTCGGATAGGTCCGATGTAATCTTTCCTCGATTGCTGTAGTAATTCGTAGTATCTAAAGATGCTAAGATGATAGCCCTGGTCTCGAGGTTGTTGCGCGTGCGCGTACGCGTGTACCTCGTTTCACGATCTTCGTCACGACGCGACGAGGCCAACGGTTTAACAATGACCGTGGCAAAACGCGTGTCTCGCGATCACAAAGAGAGAACCAAATAGAAGCTGAATTGGTAAATAAAAGGATATGCACGGTAGGAATAGTATCGCTTTGAATGACTCGAGTAGAAACCTGTCAAATTATGCGCACAATTTCTGTACAGTTTAAAGCGGTAGTTAACAAGTTTTGCTGATACGATTGGATTCGACCAATTGCCATGGAAAATGCGTCAACAGATTTGCGACATCGTGTATCGTACGCGCAGAAAGTTGTTTTCGAGCCAGTGTGGATCGTGCTATAGGATTTACGTTGATCGATCCGTAGAGCCTTTCGATTACGGATTAAATTACGGATAAAATTGATTGTTTAGAAAGTTGGTATCGTTGCGTACGTATGTACGTGTACGCAGGACGAAATGTTGGATCGTTATTTTCGCGCAAGTCTCGGAAGCAGTCGCAGTGTCGGGCAACGTAGTAAACGCTGCGATGCGATCCAATTCGATCCGATCTTATCCAATCCGATACTCGCGACCGAGCATTTACGTTGTTGCGAATCCTGACGCTTATCGTATTAATTTGTTCAAAAACCGTACCGTCGAATAACTCGAAGGGTTCAACTCGCATATGCGCATGTGGTCGCAGAAGCGTATGCGTATGCGTATGCATCTCGGCTCGTGTGTCGCACACGCGTGTGTGTACACTGTACGCACGCCGGATCGGTCAGCAAAATAAAAAAATAATATCTTCGCGTTTCGTACAAGAAATGCGACCGATTGGAATAGCGGTCCGCGAAGTGTTTTTCATTGTGTTTCGTCATCGACGATCGTTAACCGTAATTGTAAATTTTGCACACTAGATGTCCGAAGAGAATCCAGAGATGCGGGAAATGGCAGCACGTATATGTCGCGATTACCTTCACGGTGTCTGGAAACACGTTACCGCGGAGAACATTACGCTGAAACGTATCAGGTTAGTATACCGATGATAATAATAACAATAATAATAACGGTAAACAACCGTGGTAGACGGTTCGTATTTGGTTGTTATTGTTCGAATTTTTTCCGTGTACGGATCATTGCGATTCAAGGTTTTTCATTTTATCACGTATCCGCGTCCGGAATGCTAACAAGTTCACGGAATCGTGAGAATCGGTTTAGGTATGAGAAAAGGCGTAAACCTTTATTTTTTTTTTTTTTTTTTTTTTTTTTTTGATTTTGCAGCGGTGGGTTGAGCAATTGGTTGTACAACGTTCAATTACCGGATGGAGCTGTTCCGATTCGTGGCGAACCTCGTCAGGTTTTGTTACGATTATACGGCCAAGTACACGGAGAGCGGGCTTTGGAAGGACTGATCACCGAATCGGTGATATTCACGTTGTTGTCGGAAAGACGTCTCGGGCCCAAGTTACACGGTATATTTCCCGGTGGTCGCATAGAGGAATACATTCCTGCCAGACCGTTGCTTACCAAGGAATTGGCAGATCCAACTTTAAGCTCGATGATCGCCGAGAAAATGGCTCAGATTCATACGATGCAAGTCCCGATAAGCAAGGAACCGACTTGGCTTTGGGACACCATGGCCAAGTGGTTGGACACTACTACGGACATACTCGAAAACGTCGAAGATATAGACGTTCGACAATTGAAGAACGTCAATACGATACGGACGATTGATCTAGATCGCGAGATTAGTTGGTTCAGGTAAGAATTAGTAGAGTAGTCGTAGTCTCTCTTTTTTTGCTTTGCGATAGTTTGGATTTTTAACGAGTAAACGCTCTTTTCTATGCTTTCAGATCTCTCGTAACACGCCAGAAACATCCGGTAGTCTTTTGTCACAACGATATGCAGGAAGGTAATATACTGTTGCGACAAAACACGCGAAAACCGGAACTGGTTCTTATCGACTTTGAATATTGTTCTTACAACTACCGAGGATTCGATATAGCAAATCATTTCGTGGAATGGCAGTATGATTATACGGCGGCCGAATATCCCTTCTTTCACGAGCGCACAGGATCTGGACCTACCAAAGAGCAGAAGGTATGTTTCGGAGGACTCCGACATCGACTCTCAAAACATTCGTAGAAATTTGAACACGGGTAAGACATTGGGTTTTACTATCTTCCATATAGTATACGCGTGCGCGTGTGCGTATGCGTTTGGTGTATGCACATGTGCGCGCGTGCTATGTGCATATGTACATCGCACGTATACCTTTCGACTTGACTCGCGCCCGCCGTTGAAACGGGTAAACACGAATTATAGTCGATTCGTAAAGGAAGAACACGTGTTTGTAACCGCGATTAAATGTTTACCGAAACGATCGACCGTAACGAATACAGAGCAGCTTCGCTTGCAATCTACGTCGCGCGGTGAATCACACGATTACGCATACTCGCAATAGTTGCCTCTCTGTAACGATTGTTTTCAATGGAACACGGTGTCGATAAAAGCATTACTTATTACCGGAAAATGTTGTCGGATAAAAAATGATTTCTCGATAGATAGATTCGTCAAATTTCGTACCACCAGCGGGTAACTCACGATTAAATTTTACTCCTATTCGTGTCCGACAAACATGCTCTCACTCTTTCACTCACTCACTCACTCACTCACTCACTCACTCACTCACTCACCCACTTACTTACTCAATCGATCAGCCGCTGACTCATTTTTTACTCCTCTCGATACATCTGTCTCTTCCTTTCCTCTCCTACTGGCACTCTTTCGCAACGCTCGCAAAATCATCCGCGATACGCGCAAACACGTGTATATGTACGCGCGTGATATACTAGTACTCACGTCGTCGAGCGAATTTGAAAGTTGTGTCGAGAGCTGATCGAGGACTGGTTGGCGTCTGCTGCGTGTGTATATATTAGTTTCACAGGACCACCATTCGGTGAGACAAGGCTGATGCCTGCGATCGGCTAATCGGAATAATGGGCGGCATATCGATCTGCCAGTGCGATGATGGATCCTGTTTCGCACCGTACGTTGTGGAACCAGACCGACCGGTGCCACCCACCTTTGCAACATCAGTCCCGTACCTGCGCATCTACGACTCTAGAGTACTTCTACACGCACTCTCGATAGTCGATCCATAATCTGCATTGCTCGATAAATGTACAGTGTCTTATGGGTGGTAAAATCGCGTTCCAATAATTTCCAATTAAGACACTTCACTCGTCGTATTTAAATATTCGTTTTCCGTATTAGAATATCCCTACGAACGTGTATTTACTCCGATTACGCGATTATCTCGTTTTACCGGACCGTAAGATATACATGTATTATACGATCACATGATGCTAACGACGTACCATTCTCGCGTTATTTCGATATTTTTTCTTTTTCTAAAAAGCTTCTCTTTTAGTTTATCCAATTTTTCGTAAAAAAAAGAAAAAAAAAATTGTACATATACATACATGCATACGTGCATAGGGTTCGTACATGCGTATTATTTACGTGGGTAACGTGCCTTACCTCTACACGTACATAAATACATATTTCATGTACCTACCTATCCATGCATGTTTGTATACGCGTACACGTACAATCGAATCTATTTTTATATTTTCACGTATCGTTTAATTATCTTTTATTCGAATTTTGTCATAGATTTAACAGTTTTCTTTCTTCGGCAGATCAACTTTGTAAAAAGTTACTTGAAAACGATCGGCAAAGAAGGATCGTCGGAAGAGGAGCGCATCATGATGGAAATCAAGGTATTTTCGTTGGCTAGTCACTTATTTTGGGGCTTGTGGAGCATCGTCAACGCCAAACTATCGGAAATTCCATTTGGTTATTGGGTTAGTAATCGAGTATCTAGAATTTCAACGTAGACCTTATAGTACCGATACGATACTAAACGACTCGCAACCAATTTCTTACAGGATTATGCAGTTTCTAGATTAAAGAACTATCAGTACTTGAAAGAGAAAATTATAGTATCCGGCCCACCAACGATAGACAACGATGTCAGCGACAGAAAGATAACCGTGGTCGATTGAAAACGCTCAATGCTTGATTCTCACGGCATCGAGTATTTACTCTGCGAGAAATTTGCCCGCAACATTTTCACGTGCTCGTGACCATCTTGTCAGGAAATTCTGGTGTATCGCTATTTCGTTACCAAAAATTGTGATACATGTTTTATGATTTTAAGCTGGAAAGCGAGAGAGAATGAGAGTGAGAGAAGAGTGGGAGAGTCGAGGGGACAGTGGCACGAGTGTAATCGACCCAGAAATGGGACAAGTTCGGAGCTCGAAATGAGAGAGAGAAAGAGAGAGAGAGAGAGAGAGAGAGAGAGAGAGAGTGGAGAAAAGAAAAAGACGATGCTTTACGAATTACAAATGTGATATAGAATAAGTATAGACAAAGAGGTGCACAATATTACTTTGTCACCGTAAACTTTTTCAGGGAAATGTTCCTTAATTTCCAAGTCAGGCTATTGACACATTAGTCTAATATTGGAAGTCGGTAACGTTGGATGCCCTTATAATTTACAAACGTATTGTACGTATGAACATGTACAAGCACGCATGTACACATATACGCGTATGCGTGTATATGTATGTACGTATGTATGTGTGTGTGTATAGCTGATTCGTACATAGTTACAATTTCGTTGTACCTGGTTTGGATCATTACTAATTACATTTGGAATGGGAATTTTGTACGCTTAATGTTAAGCAGCAAATCGTATCTTGATCGTGTAACACGTATGTATGTATGTATGTATGCAAGTAAGTATGTATGTATGTATGTATGTACTTAACTATGTTTATCTCGCTTTTCTTGCACGATCGAAGAATATTTAGATAAGAAAACACCGTAAAGATTAGTATGCTGACAGTTATTATCGAATAAATCTTGGATCAGTTTCGGTATCGACGTTTCCTCGTCAAATTTGGTCGATATTTTCTCTCGAAATTTAGTTACGCTTGCGTTTTATTCGTAATATTTTTACGATTGTCGTGTGCATTTTTCATATACGACACGCTACTCAGTGATCGAAAAATAATATTTTAATAAAGTTGAAACAAATATTTTATATTTGTTCGGTTAATCATTTTTTTTTATGCTTACCATCCCTTGACACCTTACGCAAAACGACGCCAATACAGAGTCGCGAAACCAGAACGATAGGATAATTGTTTACATTTTTACGTTGCACATAATGTTTCGCTTATCATTTCTTTTATAGATTGGAAAGTGGATTACTTTCCACACAAATGGACTTTGACATAACCTAACCTGCATACATATACGATTCGGTGGACGTCGCAGTATAGGATGCTGGATTGGAATCAAAGGATAAAGAAATGTATGGAACGCAACTGTTACGAAAATTCACCGTACGAGCTTTTAAGGTTTTCCTGTCGAAACCATTAACGTTTATTTTTACCAGTTATCAGATTCAATCGTAACTCGGAAATTTACGTAAGTTTAACATATTTGCACAAATTTTATACAGACGATATTGCAGCAGCGTTACGCTTTAACGTTCGAGGGAAAATTCTTGTAAACCGTGAACCGAAAATATTCGAGCCGTTTTCGCAGCGTTTCCAAAGCTCCGCTGTCGAATGCGACAACGAGTACCCATAGTTTTCGAGTATACAGTGTACGGTTTTTCGAAGTCGAGGCGATAATATCGTCGTCAATCCGGGTCGAGAAAGTCGATACGTTTTTCCGTTTACTGTAACACCAATCGTTGGGAAACTTTTCCATCTGACGTGTTAAACTATCTTAAGAGTAGGCTAACTCGTTTTATTTCATGGTCGATGGAACTATTAAACTCTAACGGATGTTTGCTAAGTAATAGGTTTATTCTCTGTCCAGTAATCGTACTCGTTTACAAAAAAAAAATAAACAAACAAACAAAAGAAACAACGTCCTTCGGTACATATCCGCGCTTATGTTTCGTCGCTCGTGTATCTTGTACGCTTTCCATCTTTGGAGGTTAAAGCGGTGATTGATAGAGGGTCGCGTTAGGTTTTATCTTTTCGTTCGCCAATGAGATTTATCATCTATTGGAAAATATCCAGGTATACTACATATTGGCTATTTGTGTACGTGTATTTGTCCGCGGTATTGTTAAGTTTGCTCGTTAAGCAGATCTCAAGATGGAAAAATGCGATTAAACGTTGCACTGTTTCGTTAGATACACGGCTAAATAAGAGAGACGACGAAAACTGTGGCTAAACGGGATGATCGGCGATCGATCGTGCGAATAGAGTCGAAAAGACAGGGAACGAGATAACCGGAAGAATCGATAAACGATACCCGGTTCAAATGTTTGCGATTTCGTGTGTGTAACGTTTCTGGGATTATGCCTTAATTTTACATTGATGTAATCGGTATTCCGTCGTTACCGCGCTTGAAAAAAGAAACTAGTTCGGGATGAAAGCGTAACGTCTAGTCTACGTAGATCTAAATCGATGGAAACGATAGTTGACGAAACGACATGACGAAATTAGTGAAGATTACAGGAATAGATATGCAACACGACATCGATATAAAACTGTCGCCAATTCGATCAATTTCTATCCAAATGTGTACGGAGAGTTTCTGGATCAGTCACGAGAAGCGCGGATCAAAGCGGAGCAGAATGGAGAGAAACGGAACGGAGCCGAGTAAAATAAAATCGAATCGAGCCGAGCCGAGCCGAGCCGAGCCACATCGCACCGCGTTCAGTCGTCTAATGTATTTTAACGATGCCTCCGGCGCCGTAAGCACCAGCGAGCAGAGCCTGCGTACCATACAGAGAACCTTGCCTCAATCCAAGTCCCACGCCGAGACCGACTAGTCCTGTATTCGCGGTGACTAGGTTCGTGGTGGCTACCGTTGGAGCTGCTGCTGCTATCAGTGGTTGTCTCAACAGAGGTGCACCGAGCAGTGTGGCCTGAAAAATAAAGGTTGTCGAGAGTCGATACCAATCACGTGGCGATACGATACGAATGAAATAAAAATTGAACGTAGAGATAAGATACCTGCGGTCGGACGGCTAAAGCGGCGGTCGGTCGTGCGATTAAGGGCGATGTGACAACCGGTCGTACGGCTGTCGCGGTCTTGATCGTGATGCTGGGATCCTTTTGAACGACAGCGTTGAAACCGTTGATGGGGTCGGCGGCGTACGAGACCACTCGACGCGAACCATCTGGCTCGATTAAACTGTAACTACCCTGAACCACGTCGCCGTTACGAGTTTCCTCTTGGGCTTTGTTGTCACCTTGAAAGATTATCGAACGCGTTAATCGACCACGTGTCGTCGCCGCGACAAGGCTTAACGTACCAACGTTGACAACAAGATGCGAAATCGTTAATAACGACAATAAGGAATTGTTTAATCGAGCGATGACAACGGATAATAACGCGTACCTGTAAGAGCATCGGCAACGCTGTAACTGAAACTGTACTGAGGATTCGGATCGTAATTTTCAGTTCTGACGACTGCGGCGGTGGCTGGCGCGGGAATTGCTGCTACTGTCGCCCCGGCAGGAGTGGCGATTAACCCTGCTCCCGGTCCAATTATTCCAGCACGAGCGACAGAGAGGAAAGCGACCAAGTAACCAATAATCTGCATACATTTAAAGAAACGAGTATTACGTAAATTGGCGAATCACCCATTTTTATACGCGAACAAAGTCACGATCTCTTTTCCGTGTTGTTGTCTCGTTTCTCTTTGAAAAATTTTATCGTATTTGTTTTAACGATCAACGAGATTAAAGTGCACACGACGTTGCTGTATACCGTTCAAAAATTGTCCGAAAGAAAGACAGACGCAAACACATTACTTTGCAATCCATGGTGTTGTTCGATGTTACGTTACAAACGCGACGTTCCGATATTTCTCAGGCAACTGTGTGTCGTCGCTTTCCGTTAGCGTGTATTTTATACCAGTTGGTTCAACTCGACCCCGCCCTCAACTTTTCTTCGGGGATACGTACTGCGCCCCACTGTACCAAATGTACGCACACGGACACACACAGAGATACGTTTGCATCGAAATCATCGTGGCGGTATATGCGAATGTAATTGATCGTGTCTTTGCCTTTATCGAGAACGTAGACGTTCGTTCGCACCAAACCATGAGCAGATTTTAAACTTGCTGGGAATACATTCGTTAAACGCTCGTCTCCTCCTTCGAGACGCGTGTACTTGGAATCATCTCCACGTAACTTCATTTAACGTCATTTAACGAACGAAACGCGTACCTTCTTCTTTTCGTCTACGCATCTCACCCCTTCGACTCACAGTCGGTCCTCGTGCCGTTCTACGATACGATATTTGGATCGAAATCGTCGCTGTTGTAATTTTTCTTATCAGCATACGAACGCATTCGACGAAAAATGGAACATCCGTCGCGATACTCTAAGAATACACGCTACGACCAAATATCAGGTTTTGCTGTCCCGATTACGGTAAGATGACAAAACCGTCGGAGACGAAACACAATACCCTTCGAACTATTTCTAAGTGCAGGGTTGCGAGTTAGTTGATACTAATGTAAGCTAGTAATTGGTATCGTTGCGACATTGAGTAACAAAATCTAGGTGTTACTGTAAGCGGCGATCAAGAATCACGAGTGACATGTATCGCGTTGGCGGTGTACGATATTATCCGTAACCGTCGTTCATATGGGTCACGTAATTGTAGGAGTACTTCAAGGAACAATGTGGAATCGAGCGGTCAATTTGCGTAACCTTATCGTGTCTATCATGATTACAATTCCAACTGGTATATGTGAAGAACCCGACGCATACGCGGGCACGATTCTAGAATTAGACGGTTTTGAATAACACTTTAAAGAGTGGTAAACTATTCCTAGGTTACGCAGGAGTAGGGATTTTCTCTTAGATATAAAGAGCACCGCTCATTGAAACATGTTACTTGGGATATAGGTAGATTTCCAGCGCGGATACAAGTCTGACCTACCATGTTACCCGAGGAGTCGCATTCCACGACGCCAATTACTCAAAACTATTTCAAATATCTGAAATAGCTATAGGATATCGTACACGATGTTCCAATCGGTCGATATTTCTGATTCTTTATTTACAAATATCGAGATTTCGAACCGAAACCTTATTTTCATCAAAATGCAATATAGCCTATGTCCTTCGTTGGGATGCAATCTATCTCCTTGCCTAATTTAATCGAAATCTGTTGTGCGGTTTAGGCGTGAACAAAATAACGGATAGACAGAGTTTTTTTTCGCATTTATAATATTATAATATTACACTAGTATGGATGTATCATATAAATCACGCAGGAATTACATATAATTGAAACATGTGTATACCGTACCCTTTAATGCCTCGCTCGATAATGATGTATCGCTTTGATTTGCATAGATATGCTTGTATGGCGCAAGAAATTAGTTCAACGTTCGTATTGGACCACGTACCGCGGTGGTGGTCGTGATCGTGATCGCGGTCGTGGTCGCGGTCGCGGCCGCGTCTATGTTTATCGAAATTCGTGTCCTTGTACATTTGTTATTTTTCTCGCGATACGTTACGTTTAATCTGTTGCTTAGCGACTATTCTAACGTACGATGCGAAAAGAAACTGCTTTCGGAACTGAAATATTGAAAAAATTGTTTAACCTATCGCGTTAAACATTTTTAATCGAAGATTAATCGCGATCGGATGGATGAACTTCCGAAATTTTACCGGGCTTTCCATTCGAAGGATCCGGCTCACGGTATGCGAAATTACGATATCGGTGCTTTAAGTAACCACCAGATAAGAAAACTAAACAAAAGGAAGAGTGTAATCAGAAATAAAAATGAAATTTATTTAAAAATACATCCAGAAGTCAGAGGTTTGATGTCAGTTTTACTTAGGTAAGTTGCGTTTTTATATTTTATTTTATTTCGTCTCGCCGAGTTTTAGGCAAACTTGTATTTTTCACAGATACGTATTACGCAAACAGCCCAGCACGGAGAACATCCACGAAACCATCGGCGAATTTTTTAACAGATCGCGCCGTGAAATACTCGTGGATCTTTTCGATTACTTCTTGCACGCTAAGTAATCGTTCGATATCCAAAATAGATTACGAGTATCATCGGTATGCAGGGTATCTGTAGACTACGACATCGGTCGCGGATTCTTTACCTTCGTACCGTGTACCTTTTCGTATAACGATTAGCTGCCACTTGCTTCCAACATTTTTCATAAGAATAGATTCCAAGTAAAATATTATATTTCCGATAATGAACTTATCGATTAATCGTAAGTTGGAAAGTTTATTTTCGTAACTAATTAAACGACAGAAAAATGATCACACCTTGAATAAACGTACGAATACGTCGCAATACATCGTAATTCTGTCATGTTTCCGGTTATTTACGAAAGGAAGTTGATGATTATTTGACCAGTCGGTCCATTTCCGGTATCAGTAGCGTATACATACACATACGCTTACGTCTTTCCCTTTATTCTCTTTATACGCACTTTCCTGTTCCTGCTTTATACATTCTCTTTAAAATTTGCTATGCAACATCGACACCTTTCGCGATGAATAATTCTCGTTTAATTTTCTTTACCCCTCCAATCTTCCACGTAATAGTCTGTTATAATTAAAACCTATTTAACGGAGCGAATCGTTCTCGTACCTTTGTCGTTGTAATATAAATCGTTACCGCTACGACGTATTTTAATTCGATGCGATTTAGATTGATCGAAAGGGAGAAATATCTATTTCTACAGATCGATGATACGCATAGAATTGGATAATTTATCAATTAAAAAACAACTCGTCTGCATCCGCGCCGAATACATCTTTAATTTAGAAGCTGGTGGCGATGGAGATACAATTACAGGAAAGTTGTATACGATAGAGTAGATGTAGCGCAGCATGCGACTACTTATGCGCGTCCATGTTGCGATATAATAATTCCATCTCCAAGCCGACGCGAGACGACACACGGCGAACTAGACCGAGGCAGAGGCCGATAGCCGAAGCGATCCGAGAACGTACGAGGATACCCGGACAGAGCCGAAGGGCCGCGTGGTGTTCAGAAAGAATTGCTGCGCCCTCAGTCGTGAATCGTGACTCGATGGTCTCAGATCGATGGTCGCGGTGGTCGGGTTTGTCGATTAGGGAAAATTTGTTCGCCGAAAAACTTTGTTTTTTTTCTTTTTCCTTGAACTGCACACGCGCGGGTAATCATCGGTTCGTTATCGATAACCAAAGTGTCTTTTCGTGAAAAAATGGCAACTACTGAAAGAAATAGGAATACTTTTCTTTGGAAGAACAGAGAAACGACGCGTAACTCAACGGTCGGTCACGAAGCGATCGATTTTGGAAGAACCGCTCTTGTTCGGAGAAACTGAACGAACCGATGGCCGGAATACCGACTTGACGGTTTAGAAAAAGACGACAGGAATGGATGTGTAATACAAAAAACGTATTCGTCGGTCGGTAGAAGTCAGTGGGGTCGTACGTTCGAATCTGTGGCAATGAGGACGCACGGTTTGGATCGATGAAAAAATAAAGAGTCGCAGTACTCGCGCTCCAAAAAGAGGATGAAAGTGTGGTAGAAGAAAGAGGAGTTGTGTTGTTATAGAAGAGTTGGCGTTGGTGGCCATTCCGCCCGCCGCGGCCGTCTGTCTTTCTTGTTTCCATCGATATGTGCGTACGTGCGTGTGTATTCCTCGTAGCCGCGTTTGTGTGCTAGCGTGCATAAACGTAGTTTGATTTCGATACGTATACGCGGGTACGCATTCGTGTATACGTCGCGTCGTGCGTTCGCGCGTGGGGCTCGGCGATGTCAGAAGTTCGTCGTACGAAAGCAGTGATCGTCGGTTGCGTTTGATAAGAATGGGATTTGTGGTGATTGGCCGCGAGTCGGTGCATTGACGCCGAGTTACTTTACGCGAGAATATATGCGAATACTTGGCGAAACGTGTACGCATACTCGCATACCTCCTTTACGTACACAAAGTGGCACGTAGGTGCTGTCTGCGCGTGGGTGGGTATGTATTCGGTATGATGTAGGTGTGAGCGCGCATTCTTTGTACATACGTACGTGTAGTTTGTGGTAACGTGTAATGGCATGGAAATGAGGCGTTCGCGAGTGTCACCCCGAAAGATACGCCTCTCGCCTGGAAAGCTACTCTGTGCTCCAAACTCGAAAGGAGAATCCTCTCGCGAGTGCTCGTTCTTACCGGTTTCATCTTACCGGCATCGCTGAGTGCGTGCTTTTATGCGTTTTTCTATTCGTTCCGTTTCGCTATTTTCCGGATTCGTTTCCAACTCCGTCACCACCAACTTGGACAAAATGCGATAACATCGAATTTTCGATAATCGAAAAGGGTCTCGTTCGTGATTCACGACATCCCGGAACCTTTGGATAGCGGAAAGAAAAATGCGCAACGAGTGGCTAAGAATCTTGATCGCGATAACAGTTTTCGCCCTTATGGTTCACGGTAAGTTCAACACACTCGATTCCTTTCGATACCTTTCGACACTTCTTCTTCCCGTAAACCTCCAACCCGACCCCTGAGATTCTATTCTTTGTTGTCGCGAATCTATCGTCAGCTTTATTCTTTCTTTCTTTCTTTCTTTCTTTCTTTCTTTCTTTCTTGGCTCTTTAAGGTTTATCGTAAACACGAGTTGACGTAAACGTGTACGCATTTATTCGTTCACGACGAACCGAGCGAAGAAATTGATTCGATTGGTACTATTGTTGAACGATACTTGTTTAGTTCGCGAGTCGGTTGTCTCGGTACAGCATTGCAGATAAAAATCGAGCACGAGCGAAAAAGCTAATGAACCAGTCTGGTTGCCGCTTAACCAAGTGTCCGTTGTTCAAGAACGATACATCGGAAATTGCTATTTATCGATGTGATTTGTATCGAAATTTTTACATTATGTAAACATTACGTAAATCGACCGATCGTTATCGCTGGAATCGACAACTGTTTATGACTGGACGTCAATCGAATCGGTTTTTAATACCTCATGCCATGATTCAACTAAATTAAAAAACAAACAAATAAGTACATTGTCGTTTGTTCTTCTTTACCTTGAACTTTGTTCGTGAATGGATACATGTTTGCGCGCGCGCGTGTGTGTGTGTGTGAGCGAGTGTACGTAAACGAGCTGCACTCACCCATTTAACGAAGCAAGTTTCGAAGCTCTCTAAAAGTAAAATTCGATTTCGAAAATAAGAGAACACTCGTTTGCGTAAAGGTTGACTTTTATTAGTTTGAACGAGACGATTCGAGTAAACAATTACTTGGTAGATA